GACGTTGGCAAGCATCAATATTTTCTCATCGATAAAGAAAATAAAATGAAGTTAGTACAGAGCAGTGGACGTATTCCAATGATGATGAAAACGGGGATTGACAGTAAGTAGGGATGGAACAAGATCTCGTGTTTACATTTGGATTGGAAAAAAAAATTGGTGAGTAAACATTTTGAGAAGCCGTAGTTCCAAAGAGCAGTGGAAAAAGGACAAAAGTAAGGCAAAAGTATTCAATAAAATATCTAAAAATGTAAAGGCTAAAACTGTGAACTGGACACCGCAATTTACGTATTACAGTTCATATCAAAATCTCGCCTTGTTTCGATCTCGTGGACCTTATCTCTTGTCTAGTCTCATCTTTTGAGAATTCTGTCTTGTCCCACCCCTAACAATAATTGATTAAAGATTGCGCAAACATGCATGAATCACTCCAAAAACAACTCCAAGAAAGCAAACGAGAGGGAGAACCAAGTATACGATGGTTAAATCTGAAGAAAGCTGATTTTGCATCATAGGTTTGCTTCAGCTAAAATGACAAAATCCTAACGTTAATTGTTTGCATTGCAGTAAAGTTCCAGGCTGGTGCTATTGTTTGTTGCCATGTGAGTGTAAAATTGGATTACATTTGCTGTCAAAACATTGCAGGAGTTGAGTAAGTGGACTGTTTACGTCCTGCTGGAGTCTCTGATGCATCTGTCGCAGTGCTGCTGTGGAACTGGCTTGTTCTCAATACTGTCCTCTTTTCTGTTCACTGTGAGTCTGTCCTCAGGTGTAAAAGCTCGACAAAACAAGGAAATATATCCGTGTTCACCCGTTAATGTTCACGTTTACAGATCACAGAGCGTTTTAGTAGCACATCTTTAAAGGACCCATATTACGCTATTTTCTGATCTATGTCGTAATTAGAGCTGGGGATCATCAAGAAGTTGCCGATACGATACTCAGAGGTGGGACCAAGTTGTTGTTTTGCAAGTCTTAAGTAAGTCTCAAGTCTTTGACCTCAAGTCCAAGTCAAGTCCCAAGGTAAAGACAGGCAAGTGCAAGTCGAGTCTTGAGTCACTGGCCCATAAGTCAAAGTCAAGTCCAAGTCGTCTGCTTTGAGTTTCAAGTCATTTCAAGTCTTTAAACCAAAGTACCAAATATAGCTTTTTTTTGCAATTTATATGACTTTTAAGACAAATTGTACTTAAAAAATCATATTATATTTACAGTATTTATAGAGTATATAAGTTGTAGAAGTGTTAATTTTTCATTTTTAAATGTCTTGAAATGATCTTAGTGTGAATCATTACGGTCAGAATACAAAGAATTCAGATTTAAAAGTGCTTCTCAAGTCACAGGCCTCAAGTTCGAGTCAAGACCCAAGTCATTAACCTTCAAGTCCAAGTTGAGTCCCAAGTCTTATTTATTTTTATCAAGTCAAGTCTCAAGTCCTAAAAAAAAGTCCAATTCCCAGTCACAACTTGCAAGTCCCCAACTCTGATACAGTGAGCTTACGATTTGATATGATATATTTCAAATTGATTTGATACAGTTCAAGAAAAATAATGTATAAATCATGGCTGTGATACTAAAAGTCTTTGTTAAACCACTTCTTGTGCAAAGTTCATATGAAACACAAACATTTTAGTCGTCAAAACAGTGAAAATGTCAAATGTGTCACATAAATGAATTTCCTTCCTCTGAACAAACAACAAAACTGTAGCTCTGTAAGAAAATAATTTTGTAAAATAAACCAAAAACTACTCTTGACGATATATCGATACAGCAGCCCACGATATCGATACTGTATCATCACATTAAATGATACGATATATTGATATTTCAGTAGTTTTGCACACCACTATTTCTCATCACAAACATACCAGGAGTTGCATTTTGTTTCATTCACACATGTTTAACACACAAACCCTGCACATTTAGACTCTGTTCCACCTTGTGATGTCATGTGGTGATGTAACAGGAAGAGCTCCACTGTGTTTTTAAACTCCATACACCTTCACTAGAACCAACTGGATAATTTCAGATCTGGAATTGCCAATCTCTACCCAACAAAAAGTAAAAGGTAGATTTTAAATTAAATAACTAATAATAAAGGTTTAGTTAAACATGTGAATGAAACAAAACACAACTGTAGGTATGTTTTTGATGTGGTAACAGCATTATAACATTACTTAACCCTTCCAGACCAACAGTATCGTATCCGGTACTGTCGGTCACTGCGAGCCAAAGAGTGTAGTGAGTCAAAATGGTTGACTGCTCTGAGCGACTATGTTCGTGACAATTGATAAAGCCGGTCTAAGTGTAGTTCTTTCTAAATTAAGTATGTTTTATAACCAAAAAGTTGTTTATACATGTTTGCTGTGTGTTTTGTATGAAAGAGTTTGTGTTTGAGTGTTTGTATTTCTGGTCCAATAGCTTTTATTACAGCCATATGACGCAACTACAGCATGCAGATTGTGAAATAACAGGTTGTACTGAAAAAAAAAAAGTATAACACTTCATTAGGGTGTAAAAGGGGGAGTTTTAAATGCAAAATTAAGAAAAAAATTCAGGTGAGGACAAATATACTAACAATGCTCTTAGGTCTGGAAGGGTTAAAGCTCACAAGAGTCAGTTTTGCGTCACTTTTACATTGCTACTTCATGTGAAATACTGTGATTATATGAGGTTGTTATGCAGAGTAACCCACTGGCCTAATCTGAAGCTCTTATTTCAGATTAGAGGATGATGTAATGCTGCTAGTAAAAGGGCTGTTTATCTGCGCAGTGCTGCACTCGGCCAGTGTCAGAACACACAAATGTTCAGGCTGATGTTTCAAACAGCGAGATCACTTACAAAAACAGTTGCATACATTTCTCTTGTACATTTTTTTTTTTTTAGGAGCAGTTTTGAAAGTATACGAAAACAAAACTAGTCAAACAAACAAAAAACATAATCATAATAATTAATAAAATAAATAAAAACAAAACCTTTGATCAACCCGTCCTCTCTCCACTTTTATCACATACAAGTTGCATTTTTAATTAATAAATTATTTCTTTTTAAATGATAGATAACAAAAACAAAACAGACAAAAAATACACAATACATAAATAATAATTTAAAATAAATAAAAACAAAACCCTCGCGCAACACTCAGGTTACACAAGTTACATTATTATTAATTTTGTATTATTTATTTATTTTTATTTTGAAATTATACATAATGAAAAAAAACTAATGCAAAACTAACTAATACAAAGACTAGTTGCATTTTTATTTATTTATTTTTTTTTTTTTTATTTTGAAATTATATATAACAAAAACAAAAATTGACAAAACAATAATAGTAAGTTTAAAAAATTATAAAAACAAAATCCTTGCACAACCCATCCCTCTTTCTACTCTCATCACATACAAGTTGCATTTTAACTGTTTTTTATTTTTTTTAAAATTTGAAATTATATATAACAAAAAAAAATTGACAAAACAATAATAAGTTAAAAAAAAAATAAAAAATCTATATATAAAAACAAAACCCTCGCACTACTCACCCCTCTCCACACTCATCACATAAAAGTTTCATTAATTATATATATATTATTTTTTTTTATTATGAAATTATATATAATGAAAAGAAAAATACCCAAAACATGAATAATACGTTTAAAAAATGTATAAAAACAAAACCCTCACACAACCCATCCCTCTCCACAGTCATCACATACAAGTGGCATTTTTATTGTATTATTTTTGTATTATTTATTTATTTTTATTTTGAAATTATACATAATGAAAAATACAAATAAAATAAAAATAAAAAAGCCTCCCATAGCCCACCCTTCTCTCCGCGCTCACCACACTCACCTTATTTATTTCGAACGTTCGTGGCTCGGTCTTGCAGTTGCCAATTTCATTCCCTGTAGATTTATGGAGCAGGCGTTCCTGTGATGGTCCAAGCATCAGGCATGTTCAATGAAATATGAGGTATTTTCGTTGGCTCAGGTCTTTCCTGCCGACTGCGCTCGTGTCTTAAACCTTGAACCCGGCTGTTTGAAAAATCCTCCCTGCATCTGTTTAAAGAGGCGGTTGTTTACTATTAACCGCTAACATAACATTATTAGAACACCATATTCCCTTTTATTGTTTTTAAAATGCAAAATTCACCAAAAACAACGTATTAACATGTTTCATTAGTTTCACTTGTTCACTTGTTGGTTGCGCTAAGTCACTCCCCCTTCAGAGCACATCACAAAACAATCAGCGTGTATCTTGATAATTAAACTACTTCGTGGAACTGTAGTGCATTGTTTTGTATCACGCTTTTGTATATTTATGGAGAATTGCTGTGTGGGAGCGTGGGTGGGTGACGTAGGCTTGTGGGCGGAGCAACGGAAAGAATCTTAGATCAAACAAAACATGAGAGAGATCGCTAAATTATTCAGACATGCAAGGAATGAAATCTAAAACCTCTCCAGGCATGTTCATGGTAAGGGAACAACATTATAACATGGTAGAAAGCTTCAAACATCGATTTTGCATAATACTCCCTCTTTAATGCTGTAGAACTGTTGTTTGATTGTCATTTTGATTTCATATATAAGGTTAAAGCACACACAGGTCACAGTGCCAGTCATGTGCCTGTGTTTGCATGACCACTGAGTCCTTCAAAATGATTTTTGTCCTGTTTGGATGGACTCTGTGCCATACACTTTATGTACTTTCTGTTTGTTTTTATGAAATTCAGTGTCCTTCTAGTAATAATAAAATACAGTGAAGGAAACCTAAATATTTCTTTTCACATTGTGCACATTATTTACATTTCATTTTCAAGGTGACTTGTCACTCTGAAATATTATGTCACTGTTGGGTTTTTGTTGGCTTTCTGTTGACTAAATGAATGATTTTTTTTTAAGCCCTAAGACGCAGCTGCTGTTTTTGTGTCAGTGGCATAAATTGGCTTTTGGGATTTACAAAAATACATTGACTGACTGCTCTTCTTGTCTCTTGTGTTTCAGAATGAGGGTGTCGGAGGCAGGGAGGTAGAGCCCTCCACTTGGCTGACAGAGGTAGTTCTCGGGCTGGGGCTGGACCCACAGACCCCTGCCTCGGGGGGGCGCTCTCACCCCACTGTGAGTCCAGACCATGGGGGATGGAGGCGCTGGCGCTGCCGGAGGTGACGGCGTGAACCGCGCTCATGTGCTCTTTGACAACTTCGTCCAGGCCTCCACCTGCAAGGGCACGCTCAAGGCCTTCCAGGAGCTCTGCGACTACCTGGACGTCAAACCCCGGGAGTATAAAGTCTTCTATCACAAACTCAAGTCCAAACTCAACTACTGGAAGGCCAAAGCTCTGTGGGCCAAACTCGACAAGAGGGCGAGTCAGAAAGAATACAAGAAGGGCCGTGCCTGTGCCAACTCCAAGGTACTGCTTGGTCATTACACGACATTTGAGATGAGATATAAAACATCGCTGACTCTACATTTGATCTTCTGTATCTTTGAGCTCTTGTAATGTGATGCTCGGGCTTTACACCTGTTAGTCTGTGATTGCTTTAGAAAGGGCACTTCAGGGGCACTTGTCTGGCTCTGTCAGCACACTTTAAAATAGATTAATGTGTCACAGTTTAGTTTGCAGTAAAACAGATCATATTTTTGTAGCTCATACCCCATTTATCATGCTGCCTGAATCATTGTTTCATTTCATTGGTGTGTAGTGTAAGTCTGATATAATAACTGTTGAACACCTGCTCTGTGCAGTGTCTCATCATTGGGGCAGGACCATGTGGTTTACGCACAGCCATCGAGCTGGCCTTCCTGGGGGCCAAAGTGGTGCTTCTGGAGAAGAGAGACGCGTTCTCCAGAAACAATGTGCTCCACCTCTGGCCTTTCACCATCCACGACCTCAGGGGCCTCGGGGCCAAGAAGTTTTATGGGAAGTTCTGTGCCGGTGCTATCGATCATATCAGTGAGTTCACATTCAGGTTTGAAAAATGGTTTGAAAAACACAGATGAACATAAATATTTTCTGTTGTTGCAGGTATTCGTCAGCTGCAGTTAATGCTACTCAAAGTGGCTCTTCTTTTAGGTATTGAGATTCATGTAAATGTTGAATTCAAGGGTCTTATTGAACCTCCAGAGGACCAGGAGTCTGAGCGTAAGTGTGTCTCTTTCTAAAGTTATACTCGAGTTATTATTGTGTAATGTTACATAAGCCGTGCTCCTCCACAGGGATTGGCTGGAGGGCTGATGTTCTGCCCCGGACACACCCTGTGAGCGAGCTGGAGTTTGATGTCATCATTGGGGCAGATGGAAGGAGGAACACACTTCCAGGCAAGTCTCCACAGCTCTGTTTATTGTATAATCATGTAGCTTAAATGTCAGCTCTGTGCACCATGCACACACTGTTCTCTGCTGGGTTCAGACTCACAACACTTAAATGTTCAAAGAGAGTTGCCCACGTCTGTGCAGCTGTCACAGAGTTTAGGGAATATAGAGGAAAACTGTTGAACTGTCTCTATGTTTCCTCTATGACTGTCTGCACTTTTAAAGCACCCCCCACCCCCCCCGGGCAGACTGCTCTGACCTTAGTCTCTCTGTCAGTAAAGGGAAGCGGCCTTGTCCCTGTGGGACACTGTAAACCTCTAACAGTGTATCAGGACAGCTAATGATATTTCTGTTTAATGACACAAGCCATCTGGTTGTATTTACAGTGTCATGTTTTGTAAAGATTTGATATGGTGCAAGAGTAAATAAATAAACACAGTTTACAATGAAACTGTTGTGTCTGAGGCCACACAGAGAGGCAGGTCTAAATGTCACAGTGAGCGGAGGCGTTACAGGAAAACTCACCCACCCGTGCCGTGTTATTATTTACACTTGTATCGCCATTTAAAATATGAGACTGATTGCACAGGATACTGACACATGGTGTTGTTGTTTAAATCATTCTTTGTTATATTTTCCTTTCTCAGGTTTTCGACGGAAGGAATTCAGGGGGAAATTGGCCATTGCCATCACTGCAAACTTCATCAACAGACACACTACAGCAGAAGCAAAAGTGGAAGAGATCAGCGGCGTCGCTTTTATCTTTAATCAAAAGTTCTTTCAGGACCTCAGAGAAGCCACAGGTCAGTCGTCCAGCTTCATCTGTTTCAGTTTAACTTCTTGCGTCACAATGTCAGTGTTTCAATGAATAGACTTTAGTATTTTACTAATTGTAATGCCACATTATGTAAGATTCATGTTGTTGTTATTGATGTTACTATCCGTGTGCTTTGGGTTGCCTCATTTATGTCCTTGTCCTCTTGTAACACAAACTTAAACGTCCTATATTACACAAAAATGTTCTCTTGTGAGCTTTAAGTCATGTTGGAATGCTGTTACCTCATCATAAACATACCTGGAGCTGTGTTTTGTTTCATTCATACATGTCTGAGTAATCCTGGTGTATTAGTGTGTCAACATCTCCTCATATGCAGAGTGTATTTGTGTATTAAACATGCGAGCAAAACAAAACAAACAACAAACTCCAGATCTGTTTGCGACGAGGAAACGACATGATAACAGATCAGAAAACGGCGTAATATGGGCTCTTTAATGAACAGCATTCAGGAGAGAACTTGTTGTGCTTTAATAACTGGTCTTTCACTTTGTCCCTGTAGGAATTGACCTGGAAAACATTGTCTATTACAAAGATGACACACACTACTTTGTGATGACTGCCAAAAAACAGAGTCTGCTCGAGAAAGGAGTCATTCTGCATGTGAGTTATCAAAGCCAAACGCAGAGACGACTAACCCCTGCTTTTGTGATACTGTCTGCTCTATTGATATTCTGCAGTGACCTCACGCTGGGGGTTTTCTACATGTGTTTGTAATGGTTGAATGTTTAGGAGTTACCATGGTGACACAATACAGACATTACCAAACCTTAGTAACAAAAGTTTTAAGACAAAAAAACACAAAATGGATTAAAACAGCACATTTTAAGGAGCCTGTGATCAGTCAGAGAGGTCACATCTGTCTGTTTTTGTGTCTGTTTTTCTCTGTATTTTTGAGCTAGAGCTGTTTAATGTCATATTGTGGAACATTTCAGGCGGAACAATGAGATATCAATAGAAACAAACGGGTAACGAACGAACAAAAATCTCAGACAGGACAGAGCCGACAGTTATTTTTTATAATTTTTTATTTATGTAGTAAGCAATTTACATTCAGAATATTATCCATATGACATTAGTGCAAACATAACAGAAACGACTACAAAAAATTTGCCCAAAAAAGAGTGGAAAGAAGTGTGTGGCATCCCTCAGTCATCCCGGTAGAATTTAGTCTGATTCGTTCATTTCACTTCGTAGAAACCGTATGACCTCGCAGCGTTAGGATTTGTTCGCTCGACGGTAGGCTGTACGTTTTTTTATTTAACCAATCGCTGCTATTTGATCGTGACATATGTAATGTGGCTCTAACGGGGCTAATTGGTATATTAAGCTTTTCCCAAATTCCGCAGGAAGAAGGACAGTAACGTCTTTCCCTTTGATAAATTTCAACAAACATTCTCTTTATTCCGGCTTTAAATCCTCGATCTCAGGAATCGTTGACAACACAGAATGTCTGGCTCTTCGCTGATTGGCTGGTGCCCGAACTTGCACTTCCGGCGTTCTTGCAAACCGTCTAGTGTATTCCGATTCCTGACCTAGTAGCTGGAGAGAAATGAAATTGAGCGCAGGCACTAGGTGGCGCCAGCGTGGCTAGTTAGACTCCACGGCAAAGGAGAAATTCAGGACTGAAGACGCAGCTTGGATGAGCTGTGAAACAATTTTGATCTAAATAAACATTTATCCAGTTGACAAATTGAATTTCTCCTTTGCCAGAGTGGGAAGAAGAAGAAAACTTATTTAGTCCCACCCCTTCTTCTGATTAAACATAATGAGCTTTCTTTTGCATTCTTCAAGCGTTTTTATATTAGACAATATGAACTATTTACATGTGAGGACAAAGGGTCACTGTTATAGCTATCATCTAGGGGTGTAACAATATCGAAGTGTCATGATACGATATCGCCACGGTATGAACCTCACGGTATGATATCTATTGCGATATTGTGGGAAAGTTCACGATACGGTGGGGAGGCTCATGATTAGGGATGTAACAATATCCAAATCTCTCTGTACGATATTTTCACGATACACATCTCACGGTACGATATGTATTGTGATATTTTGTGGAGTCAAACAAAACTCTGAATACGCTACTTTTTCCTTTTAAAATGCCTTGACAAGACTTAATCCAAAGAACTAAGACTTAAAAGTGCTTAAAACTGTTATTTCTTCTTGTAATCTGCACTGAATTGGAGCAAAGGATTATGGTCTATGTCAGGAGTGTCCAAACTTTTTTCATCAAGGGCCACATTTCTAAACACAGACAAAGCAGAGGGCTGATCGAGGGCCGTAGACTGATGCTCAGTACAGTGAATCATTGAAATATGTGCATGTTTAAACACATTAGATTGCGCCTCAGTCTTTATTCACGCTAAAATCCTGAAAACCACACTCTAAATATTAAATATTAGCTTTATCAAGGTAGATTTTCAAAAAACTTGCAGTAAAAAGTTAATTTTTAATTGATGCAAGGAAATTTGGGCCAATTCATCTGGAAGCCTGAGGGCCAAGAAAAATTTGTCTGAGGGCCGCATTTGTCCCACGGGCCATAGTTTGGACATGCCTCGTCTATATAGTTCTCTCTGTCTTTTTTAAAAACTATTTCTGCACCATAACTCTTAATTTAAGCAAAGAGACTTGTAATTCGATATATTGTGATGGTCCACGATATTATTGTGAGAACTTTGACGATAAAATACCACGATATTTCAGTTATTGTTACATCCCTATTATCATCATATTCCAGTAATAGTTAGCATCAAAATAAATAGTTTAAATATTTAGCATCACACTCCCAGGGAAAGTTGATGACATCAGCTGTAAATTATTAATACTTTTTCAACATTCAAAAGCCTTCTGTCCCATGTATGGCTTCATTCTTCATTCTTCATTCTTCGTTCTTGGCTTTAGTCTCTTTCCCAGTGTGGATGTAATGGTCTGTGTGAGCCAGTGGGAGCTCTGCCAACATTTGCACACTTCTTGCTTGTTTCCTCACCTCACCTACTCCTTTCCTACTCCTGTTTTCCACTATGTCCTCTGCTCAAGTTTTCATAAAATAGTTGAGAGTTTGTTTTCAGTGCTATATTAGAATGTAAAATAAGCACATTGAGTAGTGCGCGTGCCAAGTTTACTGTAAGTGTGTGGTTAAAGGGCCACTAAACACCAAATTAACTTTTTTTCTACTGATTCTCAGTGTAAATGGGTCTAAAATAGAAATGTGTATCTATCCTTCGCCTAATTTTAGCATTTAAGTCCATATTTGTTAAAAATCAGACTGTAAAAAGAGAAAGTCGTGTCTGTAACAGCCTCTATAGGATCAACGACGATCAGGACATTTGAATTTCCGGGTTGAACCAACAGCTGCCAGTGAGTCAGACGCAGGTTTGTACGTGACGAGCGCAGACACTGGCGTCTACGGGCGGGACGTGAGGAGCCAATCTCAGCCCCGCCCTGACCTGGCACATTCGGGCACCGCGATGTCCCGCTGTGCCTCGAAAAAAAGAGAAACAGCATGATCTAAGCACAAATGTCCTCTCTGTTTCAAAGTCCGGCTGTCAGTCGGCTGTCAATCATCGCTCCAGAGCCCGCCCCACACCCACTTCCCCCAACCCGCCGGGCACCTCCCGCTCTGGAGGAATTTTCAGATTTTGCTTAGGAGCAGAGTAAAGCTTCGGGAGGGTGTTTAATGGATCTTTAAACAAACAGAACAAATTAAATCTGTAGGATGTAACATTTCTTATGGAGGCGTAGATGTGGTTGTGGTGCCTGCTTCTTGCTTTGCCTCAGTTTTATACTGTATGACAGACTTGTCAAACTCAGATATGTATTTGGCTACAGATAAACTATAGAGACATTATTTATTTAAAATGTTGTTATTATTCTATATTCTGCTTGTTTTGGATTCAATGTTTAAGCAGAACTATTCTTTAAACATTTATTTTAGTAAGAAAAGGTTTAACATTACATATCTCGAAAGAAGAGAAAAACATGCAGATGATGTTGAAATTTTTCAATAAATATTTAGTTTGGCCCACGACTTAGTCCCAGGTTTTAATTTTAGCCCTTTGTGAGTTTGAGTTCGACACCCCTGCTGTATGACACTGTGGAAATTGCAGATGATGAGGGTTTGATGATTCTCTAATTTTGAGTTGTGGGATAATACCAGTTGTAAATGTAAATTACAGTTTTGCACCAATCAAGAAGCAATTTGTGAAAAAAAGTTGAAAAATATATTTTAGAACATCCTACTTCCTGTAATTTCCAACATGGAGAATCCAAAAGTTTGGCACAATTTACACAAGAAACATTTTTTTTTTCTAATATTTTAAACATTATTTCAACAAACTGAAGGTGTTTTCTTATATTTGTATTTGTCAAATCATAATCTCTTTGTACATTAGAGGAGTTTTGACCAAGTGTACGACATGGTGGCTTTGTAATAGTTATGGTATTGCCTGGAGTGATCCCATGATTTCCAACCAAGAAGTAAAATTTGAAACCCCAATAATGGCCAAACCACAAAAAAATTGACACTTTTTTTTTTGCAAAATTTTATATGTGTGACCCTGAGTATGTTTTAGTAAAATGAGTTGTCTAACCTGTCATATGAACTTTAAACTTTGCTGTTATTGCGTAAAAACTCTTGAAAAACATGATTTCTTAACGTGAGCTGCGTCGCCTTTCCACCTGCAGCTTGGCATGTTGTTGTCACCTGCTTGTTCCCATGGAGACAGACGTGTCACACTGTGGAACATTCCTGGCAAAGCAACAACAATAACAGTGTTGGAGTCCAGCTTGAATGTAAACTGTTAAAACACAATGGGCACATGACTCATCAGGAAGTTCATCATAAAAAGCAGCGTTTGAACCTTTCGCTCTGGTGTGACGAGTCCTGTGTCCTGTCGTCTGGACGTGGGCAGAGGAAGGGTGGACATGTCGGCCGGAGGGACTGAGGCCGCGGAGTTCAAGTCCAGTCAGTCAGAAAACAAGCCCAGCGCATATCTTCCAATCACTGCCAGTCCCTCTCTCCTCTCCTAACTCCTCTTTCCCTCAGCTCTTCTCTCTCCTCTCTCTCCTCGCTCCTCTCTCCTAACTCCTTTCTCCTAACTCCCCTTCCCTCCTCTCTTCTTTCTCCTTCCTCCTCTCTCCTCTCCTTTCTCTTCTCTCCTCCCTCCTAACTCCTCTTTCCTCCTCCTCTGTCCTCCTCCTCTCTCCTCTGTCGTCCCTCCTAACTCCTCTTTCCTCCCTCTTCTCTCCTCTCTCTCCTCTCTCCTAACTCCTTTTTACTCCCTCCTCCCTCCTCTCTCCTCCCACCTTTCTCCTTCCTCTCTCCTCTCCCCTAGCTCCTCTTTCCTCCCTCTTCTCTCCTCTCTCCTAACTCCTCTTCTCTCCTCTCTCCTAACTCCTTTTTACTCCCTCCTCCCTCCTCTCTCCTTTCTCCTTCCTCTCTCCTCTCTCCTAGCTCCTCTTCCCTCTCTCTTCTCTCCTCTCTCCTAACTCCTTTTTACTCCCTCCTCCCTCCTCTCTCCTCCCACCTTTCTCCTTCCTCTCTCCTCTCTCCTAGCTCCTCTTTCCTCCCTCTTCTCTCCTCTCTCCTAACTCCTCTTCTCTCCTCTCTCCTAACTCCCCTTCCCTCCCCTCTACTTTCTCCTTCCTCCTCTCTCCTCTCCTTTCTCTTCTCTCCTCCCTCCTAACTCCTCTTTCCTCTATCTCCTATCTCCTCCCTCTCCTTTCTCTCTCCTTTCTCCTCCTTCCTTCCCCCTTTCTCCCCTGCTCCTCTCTTCTTTCACCTCTCTCCTTTCTTCTCCCTCCTCCCTCCTCTCCTCGATTGTCTCTCCACTCTCCTCTCTCCTAACTCCTCTCTCTTCTCTCTCCTAACTCCTCTCTCCTCTATCTCCTATCTCCTCCCTCTTCTCTCCTCTCTCCTAACTCCTCTTTCCTCCTCCTCTGTCCTCCTCCTCTCTCCTCTGTCGTCTCTCCTAACTCCTCTTTCCTCCCTCTTCTCTCCTCTCTCCTCTCTCCTAACTCCTTTTTACTCCCTCCTCCCTCCTCTCTCCTCCCACCTTTCTCCTTCCTCTCTCCTCTCTCCTAGCTCCTCTTCCCTCCCTCTTCTCTCCTCTCTCCTAACTCCTCTTCTCTCCTAACTCCTTTCTCCTAACTCCCCTTCCCTCCTCTCTTCTTTCTCCTTCCTCCTCTCTCCTCTCCTTTCTCTTCTCTCCTCCCTCCTAACTCCTCTTTCCTCTCTCCTCTCACCTCTCTCCTTTCTCCTCCTTCCTTCCCCCTTTCTCCCCTGCTCCTCTCTTCTTTCACCTCTCTCCTTTCTTCTCCCTCCTCCCTCCTCTCCTCGATTGTCTCTCCACTCTCCTAACTCTTCTCCCTCCTCTCCGCTTTCTTCTCTCCTCCCTCCTCCACTCCCCTCTCTCGTCACTCCTTTCCTCTTTCCTCTCTCCTCCCTTCTCCCTCCCTCCTCTCCTAACTCCTCTTTCCTCTTCTTTCTCCTCCTCTCTCTCCTCTCCCCTCTCTCCTTCCTCTCTCCTCCCTCCTTCAGCCACAGCCTCAGCGATGGAAGAACTCGCTCTCACCGCCGTATAAGAAAACAGTGTCACCGTGAAAGCATGCAGTGATTTCATGTTACATTTTGGAGAGGCTTGTGAAAAAGACTCATCCAAAGAGCATTTTACCTCCACTGTTACATTCTATAGTTAAACTTACAATATTTACTGATTCATTTACATTTTGACACACCTTTTTAATGCTTTTATTCATGTTTACTCACTTTACTTTCCAGCAATTCGACTTTATATCATGATTTTTTTTTCGAGACTTTGCATTTCCCATTCCCTGGTGGCTGACCAAACTGTGAATATGCTGCAGTTTTTCCTTTTAAAATGCCGTGAAAAGCCTTTGGTTCAGTCGTAATCCAAAGAACTATAATTTAAAAGTGCTTAATAACAGTTATTTCTTCATGTAGTCTGCACTGAAACCGCAAAGGATCATGGTCTATGTAGTTCCCTTGGTTGTTTTTTTTAGCTACTGCTGCACCATAACAGTGAATTTAAGTAAAGAGACTTGTGATTCCATACGATATCGCGATATTTCACTTATTGTTACGTCCCGATACCCTGGAGGAGTGAAGTTAACTGTGGGCACTGCTCCGTCTGAGGCTTTGATACTCAAGTTAGACTTTCATTTTAGCTTTGTTTTAACGCAGTCTGATCAGAAAGAGCTGGTTTAGTTGAAACTACAAGAGAGCTGATTTGTTTGTTAGAGTTAGACAACAGATTTTCAGAGTTGTTGTCATCTTTTTGTTGAAATCAAACTCCTAAACAGGACCGTGAACACTCGCACTCATCAGAGGCTCCTGAAAATTTGCAGTTTAAATCCATTTTGTATTTTATGTTTATATTTTCAGACAAGCTTAAAACTTTTTTGACAGTTGCCACGTTTACAGGAGAGCTTTAAATCTGAATACAAATAATTTAATTCTGAATAAAAATTAATTCTGCTTTAAAAAGACCATGTAAACACTTAATTCCTATTGAAAATGTTTATTCAGAATTAAACCTATTTCCAAAATAAGTGGGTGGTTTATTACAATTTTAAAGTCAAATTAATTTATTTCTCAATATCGAAATATCAAAATATTTATCGTGACGTTGAATTTGATGATGCAGTATCAATATTGTCGGCTGATGTATTGATATAAGAGTATTTTTTGGTATATTTTACTAAATTATTTTGTTACAGCTACAGTTTTGTTGCTTGTTCAGAGGAAGGAAATTTGTTTATGCAACACATTTGACATTTTCACTGTTTTGACGATTAAAATGTGTGTGTTTTATATTCACTTCACAAGACTTTTAGTATGACAGCCATGATTTAGCCTTTATTTTTTATAGAACTGTATCGAATCATTTTGAAATATATTGTATTGAATCGAAAGTGCACTGTATCGAGATATATATCGTATCGGCAACTTGTTAATGATACACAGCCCTATTCCTCGATCGTGTAAGCGTTTATTCTTCTTAAAAATAATTCTGGTCGTTCAGTGCATGCTTGTTGTGTCGTCCTTCTGACGCGATCCAGACAATCCGGCTCCACCAGTCCTGGCTTCGGACTTTCATCCACGTCTCTTTGGATTTGCGAGCGGGATGCGGGAGTGGGCTGAGGTAGAGCAGCCGTCGACTCAAGTTTGTCTTCTTCCTCCATTCTCCGACACTCTTCCCTTCTCCTCCTCAGCCGACAGACGTAAAGCGCGATGAGAGAATTCTCCAGCTGCTGCGCAATTATCATCGAAACAGAAACGAAAAAAGTTTGGATCATGTTTGTGTCCGTGGCGTAACGACAAACCGAGATGACAGAAAAGCCGCAGCTGAAGTGTGTGTTTTCTTCGTAAAAAACGTTTGCGTCCTTGTCCAATCAGAACCCTTCCCGACGTTGAGCGAAATTAAATAAAGAAGATTTAACGTGTTTTCCATGTAAACTTCAATTCGGAATTATTATTTCCATGGAAACTCGAACTATTTCATTCAGAACAATTAATAGAGAATTAAAGAACATCATGTAAACGTAGCCACTGTTTTCTAATTTGTGCATTGTGTTACCATGTTAACTTCTGAACATTTCACCATAGACATACAGGCAGAACTCCCCAGCGTGATGTCACCGCAAAGAATCAATAACTAATTTAAGTGTCGACTACAATGATGATGGTAGTAAAATCCACAGCCAACATGAATTATTAAAACAAATGTAATATTCTTCTCTGGCAGGACTACGCAGACACGGAGATGCTGCTGTCCAGGGCAAACGTGGACCAGGTGGCGTTGCTTTCCTACGCCCGTGAAGCCGCCGATTTCTCCACCAATCACCAGCTGCCCACACTGGACTTCGCCATAAACCACTACGGGCAGCCTGACGTCGCCATGTTCGACTTCACCTGCATGTACGCCTCCGAAAACGCCGCCATGGTCCGACAGCGCAGCGGCCACAAGCTCCTGGTGGCGCTGGTCGGTGACAGTCTGCTGGAGGTAAGAAAAAACACAATAAGTCCCCATTCACACCATAGACTGTTTAAAGAAGTGGACTAAGTAGACTTCCGTATTAGGAATAGGAATTTATTTACAGACAACATAGTGAAATATAAAAACAGGATCATGTAGAGCAGGTTTTACGAACATTTTAAGACCAAAATGACGAGGCTCACAGCAGCAGTTACAGAGAAATAGGCGACTATTTTTCAATGTAAAGTGAGCTGACATGACTAACCCACTTGCCGCCGCGTTCCAGATAGGAAGTGAGCATGGGCGCTCTTCCGGGTCCACTGACATTAGTTCACTTTGTACAGTGATCTGGTTTAGACCTAACTTAGTCCTGCTCTAAACCTAGATTAGATCTGGTTTAGACCTGGTTTATTCCTGGTTTAGACCTAGATTAGATCTGGTTTAGACCTGGTTTAGACCTGGTTTATACCTAGTTTAGTCCTGGTTTAGACCTGGTTTAGTTCTGGTTTAGACCTAGATTAGATCTGGTTTAGACCTGGTTTAGACCTAGATTAGATCTGGTTTAGACCTGGTTTAGACCTGGTTTATACCTAGTTTAGTCCTGGTTTAGACCTGGTTTAGTTCTGGTTTAGACCTAGATTAGATCTGGTTTAGACGTGGTTTAGACCTGGTTTATTCCTGGTTTAGACCTGGTTTAGACCTGGTTTAGACCTGACTTAGTCCTGGTCTAGACCTAGATTAGATCTGGTTTAGACCTGGTTTATTCCTGGTTTAGACCTAGATTAGATCTGGTTTAGACCTGGTTTAGACCTGGTTTAGACCTAGATTAGATCTGGTTTAGACCTGGTTTAGATCTGGTTTAGACCTGGTTTATACCTAGTTTAGTCCTGGTTTAGACCTAGATTAGATCTGGTTTAGACGTGGTTTAGACCTGGTTTAGACCTGGTTTAGTCCTGGTTTAGACCTAGTTTAGACCTGGTTTAGACCTGGTTTATTCCTGGTTTAGTCCTGACCTGCCCTTGTGTAATTACTACCCGACCGTAATACACGAATACACGTTCATACACTGTAAAAAAAAAAAAAAAAAAAAGCATACAAAATTCCACACAAAAAAAAAATCCGCAAAACAGCGAAACCACGAAAGGTAAACCACGATATAGCGAGGGTCGACTGTATTGAAAAGCCTCCCCTCCCACTGTAACTGCTGCTGTCAGACTCCTCAATTTGGTCTTAAAATGTTCATATTAACCCGCACTACATGATCCTGGTGTTTTTATTTTGCCATTTTGTCCGTAAATTAAGAAATGCCCGCTCCCTGCTTAATCAGAGGTGCAGGCAGGAAGGGGCGTTACCTTCAACAGCCTCGCTCCGGATTTGGTTGCTCTGATACTCACGGTCGGAATTCAAAATATGGAACCAAGTTTGCGTCTATAACTGACAGCCTCGATGAGCTTCATTTGACTGGAGCCGAACACTATGGGTGACGTCACACTCCCTCATTTCACTGGGGTTACCCGGGAATTTGCCAGATAAAAAAAAAAAATCAGGGAAATCTGTTCACACATGACCCTGCTGTGGCAAAACGGGTCAGGCTGAAGTGTAAATAAAGTTTAAATGGCCTTGTGCTGTTTTCTGACCTATGTTGTAATGTTGTTTCCTCATCACAAACAGACCTGGAGTTGTGTTTCACTCACAAACCCTGGATATTTAGGCTGAGTTCTTCTCTCAAACAGAAAAGACTCTGTTCCACCTTATGATGTCATGTGGTAATACAGGAAGTGCTCCAGTCCTCACACCTTCACTAGAATCATTTGGCTGATTTAGTTAATGTATCATTCGTTCATTTGTTTTTCAATATAAAACCAAAAATAAGAAAATGAAAAAACAACAGTTTTCTTCATTATTTGTCTCCAAAACCAAAATTAAAAACAGGTAATGATTCGTTTTTTCAGTTATGATTTTGTGTTTTAATGAATAATGTAAAAAACGGATAACGGGATAACGACCCTTTCCCGTTTCCGTGACTTAAACTGCGATGCCGGACTTTTGCGTCGCATACAGACTGAACCAGGACTAAAACAAGACTAAACCAGGACTAAACCATTTTCAGTCCTGGTTTGGTCTCAGTCTCAATTCTGGTCTGGTCCCGGTCTCAGTCCCGGTCTGGTACTGGTCTGATCCTGGTCTGGTGCCGGTCTCGGTACTGGTCTGATCCAGACTGGTGTCAGTGCCAATTTGGTCCCTGTCTGGCCCCTGTCTCAGTCCCAGTCTCAGTCCCGGTTTGGTCCTGGTCTGGTCTTGGTCTCAGTCCCAGTCTAATCCTGGTCTTGTTCTGGTCTCAGTCCTAGTCTGGTCCCGGTCTCGGTCATGGTCTGGTCCTGGTATCAGTCCTGGTCTCGGTACTGGTCTGGTCCCGGTCTAGTCCCGGTCTGGTCCTGGTCTCAGTCCTGGTCTGGTCCTGGTCTCAATCTCAGTCTGGTCCTGTCTGGACCCGGTCTCAGTCCTGGTCTAGTCCAGTTTCAATCCCGGTCTGGTCCCGGTCTCAGTCTCGATCTGTTCCTGGTCTGGTCCTGGTCTCAGTCCTGGTTTGTTCCTGGTCTGGCCCCGGTCTGGCCTTGGTCTGGTCCCGGTCTGGTCCAGATTTCAGTCCCGAATCATTATCCGTTTTTTAATTTGGTTTTGGAGACAAGTAACGAAGAAAACAGCCTTTTCATTTTCTTATTTTTGGTTTTATTTTGAAAAAACAAATGAATGAACGAATGATACACAGATTTGATTTCAGCCCCAGATTTTCCAGTCTCTAGTGAACAAAAGATAAAAATGCAGCTATTAACCGGAAAACTACAGGTTCGGCACAAGAAAAGAGCATTTTGAGCTTTGGGGAGGTAAACAGACTAACATTAAAGTGTTACTCAACGTGTGAATGAAACAAAACACAACAACTGGGTGTGTTTTTCACGAGGTGTCAATATGGCATGAAGCTATAACCATTGTAAAGCTATAAAGCACTAAACATAGGTGTAATATAGTTTTATTTGAGTCAAAGTGTGAATCGTGACTATATTTGGTCTTGTTTATTGCTCCTTCAGCCCTTCTGGCCCATGGGGACTGGAATAGCTCGAGGATTTTTGGCTGCCATGGACTCTGCCTGGATGGTGAAGAGTTGGGCTCAGGGAAAAAGTCCACTGGAGGTGCTGGCGGAGAGGTACAAACACACACACACAAACGCACGTACGTACACACACTCACACACACTCATACACGTGTTTGGTCTCTTCCAACACAATCTTTTATCTGTGAGTGCTTTACTGGGAAACACTTGTGTATGTGCTTCTGCTTCTGAGCATTACTCCCACCTCTAATTGCATAAGAGGCTTTTGTGTGGATGGAATGTTGCCGGACAAATGTACAGTATTTTTAGAATGACAATCACGCGTATAATGTTTAAGTACTAACGTTTCAAACTCGATTTCAGTGCTGCATAGTAAACGCAATATTCAGTGAAAATAAAACCGGCCCTTTTTTAGACAATAAACATTTTCAAGACTAAATTATTTATAGTTTGCAGTAGGGATGGGCACGATTAGTCGATTGATCGATAATTGATCGGTTAAGAATTTCATCGATTACGTTAATTTTAATCGACAAACCGAATGTAGGTTGCTGTGCGTAGCGTGACCAAACAGGGGTCCGTACATGTGTCTCTCTGCACTCAGAAGGAGCGAGACACAAACAGTCAGTCTGCCTGCAACGTACCGAAGTGCATATGCGTATTTAATGATGACTTGTACAAGAAATTCCATGCTTTCCGTTCCAGTCGGGACAAGTGTGAGTCCATGTGCACAGTGTACAAAGCAGCACATATGTTTCAGTGTCCAGTGGGAAAAAGTTTTACCAGGTGAGAGTCGCGCAATGTCGATGACGAGTCCCCACCTCCCTCCCCCCGTACGGTGTCCTGGTTTTGACAAACGTAAATCTGGTCACACTAACCTGTATTCACCTGAGTCATGTCTTTTAATCCGACAGAAACTTGAACCGCATCAGCGACACAAGAGCTGTAGTTTTATCTTCGCTGAGTTTATGCAAATTAGCGATGCGGTTTTAAGTTTCGTTTCTGTGAGATTTGCGCAAAATTGAATTAAACACATTATAATGTCAAACGGGCTGATGTGGCTCTAGAGTCGTTACGGTTCATTTGTCGTAAAGTTGAATTTATTTATGCAGATCAGTAGTGCAGATAGTAATAATAATGATGATCATTTTAATATAAGAAAGTTAATGATTAATCGATAATCGATCGTTAATTCTTCCGACGATTCGATTAAGAAAATTTCATCGAATGCCCATCCCTAGTTTGCAGCTGATATCAACATTTCCTGGGTGTGTGATTATAACTCTGATCTCTGCTCTGTCTGAAGCTTTGTTAGACTAATCTGAGCTTTGTTTTAACACAGTCTGACCGGAAAAAACTGATTTAGTTGGAACTAATACCGTATTTTTCGGACTATAAATCGCTCTGGAGTATAAGTCGCACCAGCCAAAAATGCATAATAAAGAAGAAAAAAACATATATAAGTCGCACCAGACTATAAGACGCACTTTTTGGGGAAATTTATTTGATAAAATCAGGGACCAGGAACCGACATTTTATTGTGAAAGGCAAAAACAATAGAATAAAGAACAACAGGCTGAATAGGCATTAATATGTTAACGTAACATATTCAAAAGTGAAAAAATGCACAGCACACTCAGATGGCCGATGTCCAAATGCTTTTTTATTTTTAGATTTTTATATCTGATGAAGGCTTTTTTTTTTTTTTTTTTTTAACTTTTTTTTGCCGAAACGTTATTTTAAAAATAAAAAAAGCATTTGGACCAAAAAACGTGTGGACAGGCCCTAATTGGACTTCCATATTAGGAGTAGGAATTTATTTACAGACAAAATAGGTAAATAAAAAACAGGATCACGTAGAGCAGGGACATTGGCCATCTGAGTGTGCTATGCGTTTTTTCACTTTTGTCTTGCTGCTCCTTGCATTTCCACCTCTACAAGGAATTTTGGTGTGCGTTTTCTGTTTCTTTTGAACGTAACATATTAACAATTATTCAGATAACTAGAGCATAAACAACAGAACATAAGTTTACCAAACTCTCCATCTCACTCCAAATCACTAAATCCATTGAATCTATTGAATTCTTCATCCTCAATGTCACTTCTGTGCAACTTCGATTGTCACTGAAGTCCAGGCTTTGTCCATCCAGTGACTTCCAGGAACGTTGGACGGTGCATCCTCCCAGTTGCTGTGAAGCTGTGTTCTCCATCCCCGCTTTCTGCCAGTTCCTCACAAGTTTCTCGCTCACTCCAAACTTTCTTTCTGCTGCTCGATTACTGTTTTCGGCTGAATATTTCACTACTCACAGCAGGACAGCGGCTTTTTCTGCAGGAGACACGCACAGAAAACTGATACACAAGCCTAGAGCCTCTCGCTGCTGTCAGACTGAAAATTTTAATATACAAGTCGCACCGGAGTGTAAGTTGCAGGAAACACCCAAACTATGAAATGAAGTGTGACTTATATTCCGAAAAATACGGTAATGATAATACTACCTATGATCTGGTTCTGCTAAAGCTCAAGACGATTCTAAAACTGTAAAAGAAACGTCCTGTTGATGTGAAACGTTTTTTAATTGATTTTTGATACTTTTGACCCTATTTCTATGTTTGATATTCTGAATAAATTAAATCTGTAGTATCTGTTTGTCACAGGGAGAGTATATACCGACTGCTGCCCCAGACGACACCAGAGAATGTCAGTAAGAACTTCAGTCACTACAGTGTGGACCCCACCACACGATACCCCAACATCAGCCTCCACTTCCTCAAGCCCAGCCAGGTCAGTGAGCAGCAGAGACGATCCAGTGTGTCTGTGTGTGTTTACCTGATCAAGAAGAACCACACACTTTCACAAAACTTTACAAAGACGAGTGGATTTGGAGCTATGTCCTGTCTCCCTGAGTCCAGAGGGAGTGATTGGCAGGTGGACTAACCAATCAGAGACCCAAGCTCCGTTTTAGGTCAAACAAATATGGTGGTTTAGAAAAGAAAAATATATTAATTTTGTTCTGAATGAAGTGAGAATTTTGTAGAGGAGATTTGATTGACACGTGTTATAAATTAGCAGCTGTGGTTGAACTGTCCCAAGTTAAGACAGAGGTTTTTCACGCTCTCTGGTCGATTCCAGATTCTTCTGGATTTGAACAGAATGTAGCAGGGACTGGCTGCTCAAATCCATGTATCATTCATTCATTCGGTTTTCAAAATAAAACCGAAAACGAAAAAGCTACTATTTTCTTCATTATTTGTCTCCAAAACCAAAATGAAAAAAAAAATGGTAACGATTTGTTTTTTTAGTTTAAATTAATAATGGAAAAAATGGATAACGGTATTTCTCATTTCCGACAGTTCTGGTTCAGTTCTGGTTTAGTCCTGCTTTAGGACTGAGACTGGGGCCAGACCAGGACCAGGACTGAGACCGGGACCAGACCGGGACCAGACCGGGACTGAGACCAGGACTACAACTGCACCTGGTTTAGATCTGGTTTAGACCTGTTATAGTCCTGGTTCAGTCCTTGTTTAGTCCTTCGCTTCAGTCCTGGAGTCAGTCCTTCGCTTTAGTCCTGGAATCAGTCCTGGTTTAGTCCTGGTTTAGTCCTGGTTTAGTCCTGGTTTAGTCCTGGTTCAGTCCGTGGCCTATGCAGCACAAAAGTTTGATATAATCTTGGGTTATGCGGTGCAAAAGTCATGTAAACGGGAAACGGTCGTTATCCATTTTTTTCCATTTTTAATTGAAACACAAACTCTGAAACTGAAAAAACTAATCTGTTTTTTCATTTTGGTTTTGGAGACAAATAATTAAGAAAACTGCTGTTTTTTCATATTCTTATTTTTGGTTTTATTTTGAAAAACAAATGAACAAATGATACACAGATTTGGTCAGATAGTGTGTGTTTAATATCTGTTGTCTAACCCAAACGTGTGTTGTGTTTGTGTCCAGGTGCGGCATCTCTTTGACACTGGTGAATCGAGAGAAATGAGAATTGAGATTGAAAATGTGATCAACTCGTCCACACCCAAACTGACGAGGAATGGTGAGAGTTTTTTATAATCTTCTAAATCTTCACCATACATTGTCTAAATATAGCAGTGATTTGGTGCTTTTTTCACTCGCTGATGAAATGTGATTTTTACTCTAGACAATTGCCTGCTTGACAAGCAGTTGCAAGGTAACACAAAGCCTACATGCATGGAGTTGCTTTTCAGGGATGATACTTGTTTACTCTGCAGTGTTCTTGTTTGAAGCCAATAGTGGAATGATAACTGGTCTGACGCTGTATTTAAGACTAACATGCCAAATTCCAGTTTTGTCTGTTTGGTTTGTGAGCTCTGATACCTTTTCCTAACCTTGCACTTACAAACATTTTGTTCATGTCTAACTTTATATTGACTTTGTTAGTTAAAATGGGAACTAACATTAAAAAAAACATGCTCCATAGGCCTGTCACGATAATTACTACATCGACTTATCGTTCAGTTTATGTAAGCTGGGACAATTGGCCTCATTCATGAAGCTTTTCTTAAAAATGTTTGTAATTTCAATTTTAAGAAGATGCTCAGAAAACTCTGCCCCAGATTCACAAAGAGTTCTTAAACAGACAAATTGTGACAGTTGTGTCGAATTCACCAACACCCAGCTACAAACACCTCCAAACTCATTTACATTTCATTTACAAAGAAAATTTATATGTATTTGCTTAGAAACTCTAGCCAGGCTGGTGCCACCTAATGCCGCTACTCAATTTCATTTCACTGTAGCAACTAGGTCAGGAATCAAAATACACTAGACGGTTCACAAAAAGCCCGGAAGTGCGATTTCGGGCACCAGCCAATCAGCGAAGCATCATATATTCAGTGTTGTCAACGATTCCCGAGATCGAGGATTTAAAGTCGGAACAAAGAGAATGTTTGGTGAATTTTATCAAGGGGAAAGACATTATTGTCCTTCTTCCTACGGGATTTGGAAAAAGCTTAATATACCAGTTAGCCCCGTTAGCGGTGCATTACATACGTCACGATTACGGATGGGCATGATTAGTCGATTAATCGATAATCGATCATTCAGAATTTCATCGATTACGTTAATTTTAATCGACAAACCAAACGTAGGTTGTTGTGCGTAGCGTAGGGAGACCAAACGTTTGTGTCCGGGGACAAACAGGGGTCCGTACATGTAGCTCTCTGCACTCAGAAGGAGCGAGACACAAACAGTCGGTCAGTCTGCAACGTGCAGAAGCACAAATGCGTATTTAACGATGACTTGTTCAAGAAATTCCACGCTTTCCGTTCCGGTCGGAACAAGTGTGAGGCCATGTGCACAGTGTACAAAGCAGCACATATGTTTATGTGTCCAGTGGGAAAAAGTTCACCAGGACACAGAAAACATGAAAAAGTTTTGCCAGGTGAGAGTCGCGCAATGTCGATGATGAGGCCCCATGTCCCACCCCCGTACGGTGTCCTGGTTTTGACAAACACAAATATGGTCACACTAACCTGTATTCCACTGAGTCGTGCCGCGTCAGCGACACAAGAGGTTTTTTTTTTCTTTGATTAGTTTATACAAATTAGCCATGTGGTTTTAAGTTTTGTTTCTGTGAGATTTGCGCAAATCTGCATTAAACACATTATAATGTCAAACGGGCCGATGTGGCTCTAGAGTGGTTACGGTTTATATGTCGTAAAGTTCAATTTATTTATGCAGATTAGTAGTGCAGATAGTAATAATAATGATGATAATTTTAATATAAATACGTTAATGATTAATCGATAATCAATCCTTAATTCTCCCGATGATCGATTAAGAAAATTTAATCGAATGCCCATCCCTAGTCACGACCAAATAGCAGCGATTGTTTAAATGTTAAAAAGTACCCGCCTACTGTCGAGCGAACGAAATCTAAGGCTGCGAAGTCAGACGGTTTGTACGAAGTGAAACCGGCTGATGAATCATTCTAACGAACACCTCCACACTCATGTACATTTCATTTACATAAAAAATGAACATGTATTTGGTTAGAAACGCACCTCTGAACTTCCAAATCTGGCCAAGATGGGTTTTGCATTATGGCTTGCGAAAGTGCGAGAGAGAACGTGAACGAGGAGGTCAGGTGGAGCGCGTCTACAGACTACGGCTCTTGTACAGCTTCAGCGGCGATTTCAAATGTCCAAACTCACATGAACACACTCAGGGAGGGAATATTTAAGTCATAAACTTGAAATTGAAATAAGCAAGCGGTTTTATTGTATTTATCACACTTTTACTACATTTTCATTCTGCTGTTTATTCATTGCAGCTCATGATTTTAACAATATTGTAGATTTAGAAGAGATTTTTGTGATTTAAAATTCAAGTCAATGGCGTAAAGTAGTTTCAGTATTGTCGTTTATCTTCTATATTTCCGTCAGCAATATATCACGCTTGAGAATGTGTTATCGTGACAGGCCTAATGCTGTGATAACATACACGTTCTGCCTCGTGCGACCTAAGCTGTGAGATGTGCTCTTCTGCCCTGAAGCTGTAATAATTTCCATGTTAAATTGTCAGTTTTCCCAACCTCCTGCTTAACTCAGACCGTTTAATTTTCTTCTTTTGTATTCCCAGAATCCATAGCTCGGTCCAGTAAGCTGCTGAACTGGTGCCAGAGACAGACGGAGGGATACCGAAATGTAAATGTAACAGACCTGACCATGTCCTGGAAAAGTGGTCTGGCCCTCTGCGCTCTCATTCACAGATACAGGCCGGATCTGATGTGAGTATCTGCTGCATGGAAACTCGTCTTTATAGGACTCTCTTTGTTGCAGTAGGTTGGAGATTATTTAGTTAAAGGTCCAATATTACACATTGTGAGCTTTAAGTCATGTTATAATGTTGTTACCGCCTCAGAAAACAGACCTGGAGTTGTGTTTTGTTTCATTCACACACGTTTAAGTAAAGCACTGTTCGCACGGGATAAGTACAACCTGGAGACATCTGATGAATTGCAAATTACCGCATCACCTCTGTGTTACTTGCAGCTCATTCGCACAGGATAAGCGAAGTCCATAAATTATTCTATTTTACAGTGACAGAGACTAAGACTGAAAGGGAAAAGAATGTAGAACGAAAGAAAAAGATAGAAAAGGAGCACAATTACAACAAATACTAAGATGCAGATTCGCACACAGGACTAGTTTTATCACTAGACATCTCTGTTTGGTGAAATGTAGTACGTTTTTTACTTTACAATTTACAGACGTGACACATTCGCACGGGATTTTGATCTCAGGGATCATCCAGTTATTACAAATCACCAAAGGTCCACAGATAAAACTAATGTCGTGTGAACGGGGCTTAAATCCGGTTTATTAGTCTGTCTACAAATGCTGTGTTCCACCTTGAGATGTCATGTAGTGGTAGTTATCAAGTTAACAGCTACTGTTTAGAGAGACTGGCAATTCCAGGCTCTGAAATAATTCTAGTGAAGGTGTATGGAGTGTAAAAACACAGTGGAGCACTTCCTGTATTACCACTTGACATCACAAGGTGGAACGGAGTCTAAATATGCAGGGTTTGTGTGTTAAACATGTGTGAATGAAACAAAACACAACTCTAGGTATCACGTTTCCTCGTCAAAAACATAACATAGATAGAAAACAGCGTAATATGAGCCCTTTAATCAATTATAATGATTATTAAGGACACAATATTATCCAAAAATAAGTAAATAATGATACAAAAAATAAGGACAAGTTCAGAAACAAAACAAAGTACTTTTAATTCAGTGTATACTCATTCGTATACAGCTGAATTTCATCAAACTGGTAACGTTATAGAGCAGGGATCTACAAACTTTTTCCTCCATAGAGTTTACTTTATAAAATGAAAATGCCAGAGAGCTACTAGTTTCAGAGGTCACAAGAAACTGAGTAAATATAAGAGCCATGGCGTGTCTTAGATGAGGCACAGTTACACGCCTATAAAACAAACCATTATCCATTTAGTAGTGCACAAAGTTAGGCAACAAAATGATACATGTACAATGGTAATAAGCTTTTAATTCATCAAATTTTACTTATTCAATACATGTAATTAAGAAATTCCTTGGCGAACTACTTGGAAGGGGGTGGAGAGCTACCGGTTGGAGAATTGTAATGTGTTAAAATATTAGACTGTACATTTGATTCATTGATTTTTGCTGCTGTTTGGTTTTGGTATCGAGAATCATTCATCATTTTTTAATCCTTGCGTCACAATAATCCTACCGGACATTTCGTAACACAAATAACATTTGGTATTGGGCCATGCCTAGTTACGCTTATTTTTATTGACTGATTGGAACAACAACAACAGTAAATAAACATAACTAACCTCTTAACTGCTGTGTTCTAAATAGGAAGGAAGGGAATTCACTTTGTACTGAAAAAATATTGCCCCGTCTTTCCTCATTTCGGTCTTCAAATGTTCGTATTAACCCGCTCTACATGATTCTAGTGTTTTTATTTCACCACTTTGTCCGTGAATTAAGAAATGAACAACATTAAGAAATGAATTAAGAATAGAATAACAACAATTGCAGGAAGGAGTGTTTTGGTTACTGTGATACTCGCGATGGGAATTCTAAATCTGGAACTTGGGATGGGACAATAAACAATATTGTTTATTGTGATAAAAATGGCTGGTAATAATCATTCGTGGGACATTTTGTATAATTTGGCAATCGACAACAAAGATAACGCCAATTTGTGTAGAAAAAAGATGCATATTCATCATGATCTCCGCTAGATCCATGTACAATTATGTAAAAGTTGTTGAAACATGGAACTTATTCATAACAGTAAAATTATAATTATTCATATACATAACATTTTTAAACATTTAAGCAACTTTCATAATGATGAGACAAGATGAGATTTCTGAAATAATTTACAATAATCTGGTCTACTTAAAGTAAAAATGTAACAAAAATGTAAAAATTTAACCAAAAAGTAAAAATTACCCAGATTAAGTCATTTTCATCCTATGTAAATCCCGACACGTAGTGAATTAGACGCGTGTATATTTCATTATAGTTTTTAGTGATCTTTTTGTACAAACTTTAGCACTAATTGTTTACATTAATATTGGTCCTATCACTAGGAAATTAAAACTAGGACAGACTTTAAACCACACAACTTTATGTGCAGGAGTCTTTTAGCTTCAGCTGCTCAAAATACTCAACTTTCCAGAGCCTGAGTGAGTTTCATGCCCACGCCAAATGTAAAGATAGAGGATAAAATCTTTCATTTGTTGTTTTTCGTTTTTCAGTCTTGTAGCAATGTGATCTCGTCCCATCCCTGATTATTGTGATGTAATTTTTAATCTCAATTACCGTATTTTTCAGACTACAAGGTGCCCTGGATTATAAAGCGCAATATTAATAATGTTGAATACTCTCATCTATTTTCATACATAAATCACACCGGATTATAAAACGCATTAAGCAAAACAAACGGACAACACTTGAAACTGATTCCCTTAGCCCAGGCGTCCACGATCCATCAGCAGATCGTGGCGTAATTCGCCATCGCCTCCCTGTCTTGGTGAATGTGGATTATGAATATGAATGTGCGTGCAGAATTTAAGTCTGCTTTTTTATTTCCTACGAGGACGACTCAAATATACATTGAGTAATAATGTCTTTAATGCAGAGTTGCGCACATTTGTTTACGTTTTACAGAAACAAAACTTAAAACCACATGGCTAATTTGCATAAACTATGAGCACTGAAACAAATCGCTCCTTGTGCGCTGATGCTGTCAAATTCTGTCGGACTAAAGGACACGACTTACTCCATGAGGCTCCTGATTACAGTAGTCGTAATGCTCTGACAATCCATCAAGCGGTGCAGCTTCGTAGCTTACCAAAGTCGTACTGAAACATTTTGACAGATTTTTAAGGTTAAGGTTCTTTATTTGTCATTCAAGCATGCGAGAGAAACACATGACAGAAGGAAATGTGCTCCCCGAGGCCCAGTGATCCAGAGAGAGATAAAAACAATAATAAATAAGCAATTAAAAAGTAAATACATCAAAAACAACAACGTGAGCAACATTTGAGCTCCGTGTATCACATAAAATCGGTTTGAGGTCAGTAAGCACGACCAGAATTAATACATAAGGCATTTTTGAGCAAATTAAAGGATTTTAAGTGTGCCTTATAGTCCAAAAAATACAGTATTTTGGCCATGATAATTATGAAACCAAATCTCAATATCATCTCATGCCTATATGGAAACTGGCTTCAAATTCATGTCTATAACTGCAGCCTCGATGAGCTTCATTTGACTGGAGCTGAAAGCTACAGGTGACGTCACACTCCATTGGTCCACTCCCTTTCTTTCGCAGTAATCATGCCATACGTTTTAACATTTACTTTCAGGCCGTCCTCAGTCACAAATGTTTTTTTATTGACTGACTGGGGCCTTTTCGGTTGTACATCACCGCAAACGAGATGATTGCTTCCAGCCATAAACTCCTCACAGGTCCCTTAAGGTAGCCCTGATCTCCCTTTCCCTCTCTGCCTCTCCAACGTGCCATAAAACCAGCCTCACCAGTCACGCACCGTAAACACCGCCGCCATCCACGCAGACTAATGCAGTTTAGTGCCTCTCCAGAGACAACACGGCAATTAACATTAGAGGCGATTAGTGTCTATGTCTTCTGGTTCGACCTTTTGATATGCAGCTCTGATGGAGAGAGCGGCGGGAGAATGGCGCGTGTAGGAGTCTTGGGCGCTGGTCACATGTTCAGATACTCAAAGCGCGTAGAGGATGATCCGAGCCTCCGTCTTAAATGCTTCTAAGTGGGTTGTACACGGTGCTACGGGCTCTTACTGATCGAGGCCCGTTAATGGTGTTTTCAGATGAACTATAATGACATTTACAGTAATGCTTCCCACAGCCTGCATTACAAGACGCCCTTACTTATCAGTGTTTCAAAGTTACATGCTGATTTTGTCAAGTAAGTTTTGTAGTTAAGGTGAATGTTTTCTATCCTTTGTGTCATAGTACGGTATTTTTTGGACTATAAGTTGCTCCGGAGTATAAGTCGCACCAGCCAAAAACTGTGTAAAGAAGAAGAAAAAAATAAGAAAATACGTCGCACTTTTTGGGGGAAGTTTATTTTATAAAATTTGAAAATAGGAACTGACATTTCCTCTTATTTCTTATTTCTTATTTATTTATTTAAAATAGGGACAAAACACATTAATGAACATATACATGATATGTAAATATGTTATCAGATTATAGCCCAAGGCTAATTTCCATCTGCTGTCCCTAGGCAGGTTGATATAATCATAAAACAAATGCACAGTAAAAACAATACATCCCGACAGACAATACAATAATACAAATAGACAGACACAAAGAGCTGGTCAGTCACAAGATCACAGACACAGGTCAAGCAAAGGATGTTGGATTATTTGATCAAAATTGCACGCTGCCTTGTTTAGTTAAGATGCCAGTGTATAGATATTGCACACAGCAAACTGACGAGGAATGGTGAGAAAAAAGCAAGTTCTAGTAATAACAATAGAACAGAGAACAACAGACTGTTAATGTCACATATGAACAGTTCTTCAGATAAACTATAGTATAAACAACAGCTCCAAATCACTAAATCCATTCAATTCTTCATCCTCGGTGTCACTTCTGAGCAACTCCGCAACCTCCGGAGGTAAACAGAGCGCCGCTTCCTCTTCTGCGTAGCTGTTGTCAGACTCAGCATCAGTTCCAGTGAGAATTATTCCGGCCTTTCTGAATCCCAACAGGATGGTTTCGGTGTCACTGAAGTCCAGGCTTTGTGGATCCATCCACTGACTTCTAGGAAAGCTGCATGGTGCACCCTAGCCAGGCTGGCGCCACCTAGTGCCTCTGCTCAATTTCATTTCTCTCCAGCGACTAGGTCAGGAATCAAAATACAATAGACCGTTCATTAAAACCCCGGAAGTGCAAGTTCGGGTACCAGCCAATCAGCGAAGAGTCATATATTCTGTGTTGTCAACGATTTCGGAGATCAAGGATTTAAAGCCGGAACAAAGAGAATGTTTGGTGAATTTCATCAAGGGGAAAGACGTTATTGCCCTTCTTCCTACGGAATTTGGGAAAAGATTAATAAACCAGTTAGTCCTATTAGCAGCGCATTACATACGTCACGACCAAATAGCAGCAATTGGTTAAATGATAAAATGTACCCACCTACCGTCGAGCAAACGAAATCTAAAGCTGCGAGGTCAGACGGTTTGTACAAAGTGAAACGAAGTGAAACCGGCTGATGAATCAGGCTAGGAGCGTCCTCCCGGTTGTCGTGAAGCTGTGTTCTTCATCCACGCTTTCTGTCAGTCCCTCACAAGTTTCTCGCTCACTACAAACTTTCTTTCTGCTGCCCGTTTACCGTTTTCAGCTGAATATTTCACTACTTGCAGCAGGACAAAGGCTCTTTCTGCTGGAGACATGCGCAGAAAACTGGCACACAAGCCTAGAGCCTCTTGCGGCTGTCAGTCTGAAAATTTTAATATATAAGTCGCGCCAGAGTATAAGTCGCAGGAAACACCCAAACCATGAAAAAAGTATAGTCTGTAGTACAAGTACAGTCTGAAAAATACAGTAAATGCTAGCAAAAAGGAAATTCTCCAGATGTCATCCAAAAGTGCTAAGAAATAATGATCCCTGTGAGCCGCCTCAACTCAAATCATTACAAAAATGTAAAGACAGAGGTTTCTTTTTGTCTTTTCTAGTAAAATAATGCTTTTACGGTAAAATGATGAATTAAAGTCACTAAGGATTTACCGTCTGAGCACTTTAGAAGAAGTTTTAGACATAAAAATTATAGAGTAGCTGCAGTAGTTTCGTCTTCTAATTCAATTGAAGAGAGATCAGAATTTACCGGAACGCTGTCAGAGTTTCCGCTATCGCACGAGAACTGAATGGACTAAAAAAATAATCTCGAAGGTTCTGAGATATTACATTATTTGTAAGATAACACTCACTTCCCCAGTTGTTCTGTAAAGATAAAACCTTTTTAAACTGTAAACTATAGACCATGTACCTAATATTTTAATTCCCCTTAGTTTCCAAATCAGTATTTCATCAGCGGTCCGTTTATTGAGACTTTTTTGTTTAGTTTATTTATTTCATTCATAAAGTATAAAAAGAGATTAACAGTGTCACAGCATCAAACGTACAAGACATGAATGAAAAGGAGCAGAAAGAAGAGTAATCTTACATTATCTGCCTCCTTTTCCTCTTTTCCAGACAAAACATCAACACTGATAGTCACTTTAAAACATTTCAAATCAGTACATTTCAGTTCATTCACAATAAATCACATCAGTTGCAAACAGAAATCTTCAGTTTTATGCACAACAACTTAGTTTCCTTTTTTATACAAACACATTGCACTGGATTTTATGTGTTTTACAAAATGTTCACTGCAAACTAGGGATGATTTAGGCAGAGTTTTTGGTCCTTCCTGTGGATCAATCCTGCCCATCGCCTTCGCCTTTCACTATTTTTCAATTGCATTGGGAAGGGAAACAGTTTGAACATAAGTTTGCAGTCAGAGATCTGATTCCCTTTTGCAGTTATGGAGTTCGCAAACAAATTTCTCGAGCCATTTTCCGCTGTTAGGATCCAACAACCACACAATTACGATGTCCGAATCCCAAAACTAAAATATGACAATATCAGAACCAGAAACAAAAGCGATATGGTTCAAAAGACTTGAAAAGATCGGCTTTGACAATAGACGCATCCCACTGGGAAAACAAACATGACGGTTCGATGCTCACTTTTTCAGAAAATCCTTCCCAGTATGAATTGTCCGAGATTCTTGATGCATCTATTGGATCTGGTGTTTTTCGCCTGCATAATAGGTGCGATGTTGGTCTTAATTTTCATTTAAGTGGTCTTAAAAAGGTCTGAAAAACTCTTAAATTGGTTATTAGTAACTCAGATTCAATTGTACTTCTTACACTGCTTCTGTATTAAATCTTATCCTGTCCTCTTTATCTGTTTTTTTTCTTCCGCAGAGACTTTGATTCTTTGGACGAGCGTGAACATGAGAGGAATAACCAGCTGGCGTTTGACGTGGCAGAGAAGGAGTTTGGGATCTCGCCCTGTATGACGGGCAAAGAGATGAGCTCTGTGCTGGAGCCAGACAAACTCTCCATGGTCATGTACCTCAGCCAGTTCTATGAAATGTTTAAGGACACAGTGCCCCCCAGTGGTGAGTCAGACACATTGCAGTAAACTCATATAAAACTATTGTAATATAAATGTATTATTGAACAGCGCTGTGCTATTAAGAGAATTTTAATTTGGATTCAGTCTTGTGCAATTGTTAATTAAATATTTGTGTTTGCTTTTTAATCAATATCTACAGAATATTTCTGTAAGTTAAATCAAACAAAGATAAAAAAAAACCCAATAAAAACAAAGAAGACAAACAAACACAGATCAAACTTTGGAGGAATAGTTTTTACTATTTTTTGTGTATTTTTTGTGGCATTTATCTTCAGGAAATTAATATTGAAAGGTACTGTTTATGTTTTAAAACTGGACAAATGAAGACGTGAAAATTGTGATTTTTACATATATATTTTTTGATTTCTTATTTCTTTTTTTAGCCCAACAGCTAATTACCTGCTTTATGAATAGACTGGTATAATAACTTTTATACGTTTTTTTTAACCTTTAATATGTTTATGTTTTTTTTAGATAACCTGAATTTGAGTCCGGAGGAAAAGGCTGCTCTTATAGCCAGCACCAAATCTCCAATCTCCTTCCTGAGTAAACTTGGTCAGAGTATTGCAATCTCCAGGAAAAGAAACCCCAAGGTCAGTGTGATCGATTTTAAAGGGACAAATATTACAGCATTTTCTGATCTGTTACAGTGTTGTTTCCTCATCAAAAGCAGACCTGGAGTTGTGTTTTGTTTCATGCTCTCATGTTTAACACACAAATCATTAATATTTAAGCTAAATTCCCAAACTGAAAACACTCTGGCCATGTTTCAAGTTTTCTTTGGACATGACATACAGGCAGAGGGGAGTAGTACTCACTTACATTTATTTTTAATTTTTTTTCTTGATAACATTTTTGTGCTTGAGATGAAATTGCACTAATCATTTTTTGAACCACTACTACACTACCAGTAAAAAGTTTGGACACACGTTTTTGTTGATGGTTCTTCTTTATTTCCATGATTATGTTTAAATTTCTTACTGAAGGCATCAAAACTATGAATGGACACACATATGGAATGTAGCAAACGAAACATAAGCTCAACATTAACTCAAATAATAATAATAAATCTTTATTTAACAGCACTTTTCAAAACAAGGTTTACAAAGTGCTGTACAAGCCACAAAGAACAATACAAAAAGTATAGAAATAGCACACAGAAAGCACATAAACAGACAATGATGCAAATAATTCAATGAATTATAATAAATAAATAAAAAGAAATAGAATAAAAATAAATAAGGGAAAAAAATCTAGCTAAATATGGTGATACAGGAAGCACTCCACTGTGTTTTTAAACTTCATACACCTTCAATAGAGTCATTTGGATGAATTTTTACCCTGGAATCTCTGCTTAACTAAAGCTAAAAGGAGCTGTTAATACAAAAACTGCCACTTCATGACATCATAAGGGGGAGCAGGGCATTTTGAACTTTGGAGATGTAGACTGACTAATAATAAAGTGTTACTCAAATATGTGTGAATGAAACAAAATACAACTCTTGGTCTGTTTTTGATGAGGTATTGATTTTGTGTCGATTTTGCGTAATACCGAACCTTTAACCGTTATATAAAGCACATGTCCTCTTTTGGAAGAATAAAAATAACTCTTTGTCTCATACACAGGACAAAAAAGAGAAGGAGGTGGACGGTTTGGGGAAGCGAAGGAAAACCAGTCAGTCAGAAGACGTGAGTAATTATGACGACTCCGAATATTTTGGTTCAGTCGCCGTTTGATTTTGAAAAGACAGCATTCACTAATTAACGCTCAAAGACTGACAGTTCGGAGCAAAGATTTCAAACTTTTTTCGCGCCGCTTTTCCCCAGGACGAAGTTTCGAGGAGTTGCCGTGAGGAAAGGCCTTCTGTGCCAGCTCTTCCGGAGAGGAGGATGGACCCAACCACTGTGGCGAACAACAACAAAGTCAAGGTGATGGCCACGCAGCTGCTGGCCAAGTTTGAGGAAAACGCTCCAGCCCAACCATCTGGACTCAAGAGACAGGTAAGAAAGAAAAACAGCTCTCAAGAAATCTCTACTCTGATCACGAAACGACTGATGCTTCAAGTTTACTTTGGGCAAAAAATAAAAGAAATGACATACAGGCAGAAGGGAGTAGTACTTATATTTATTCTGTTTTTTTTACTTGAAATGAAATTAATCCGTGCATCATTCGTTCATTTGTTTTTCAAAATAAAACCAAAAATAAGAAAAGAAAAAGCAGCTGTTTTCGTTAAGTGAAATTTTTTTTATAATGATTCAAGTTTTTGATTCTGTGTTTAAATGAATAATGGAAAAAAAAGTCTGTTTCCCATTTCTGTGACTTAAACCGCGATGCCGGACTGAGACCGGGGACTGAGACCGGGGACTGAGACCGGGGACTGAGACCGGGGACTGAGACCGGGGACTGAGACCGGGGACTGAGACCGGGGACTGAGACCGGGACTGAGACAAGGACCAGACCGGGACCAGACAAGGAATCAGACTTGGACTGAGATCAGGACTGAGATCAGGACTGAGATCAGGACTGAGACCAGGACTGAGACCGGGACTGAGACCGGGACTGAGACCGTGACCAGACCGAGACTGAGACCGGGACTGAGACCAGGACTGAGACAGGGACCAGATCAGGACCAGAGCAGGACTGAGACCGGGACTGGGACCAGACCGGGACCAGACCGGGACCAGACCGGGGACCAGACAAGGGACCAGACAAGGGACCAGACAAGGGACCAGACCGGGACCAGACCGGGACCAGACCGGGACCAGACCGGGGACCAGACAAGGGACTGAAACCGGGATCAGATCAGGACTGAGACCAGGACTTTGTTTAATCCTGATTCAGTTCTGGTTTAGTCCTGAAACGGCCGTTATCCGTTCTTTCCATTATTCATTTAAACACAAAACCGAAAAATGAAAAAAAAAAATAAAAATCATTATCTGTTTTTTCATTTTGATTTTGGAGACAAATAATGAAGAAAATTGTTGTTTTTTCGTTTTTTTATTTTTGGTTTTATTTTGAAAAACGACTGAACAAACGATACACAGATTCAAAATTGTACTCGTAATTTCTTGAAAGACTACACTACCAGTCAAAAGTTTAGACACACTTTTTCATCGATAGTTCGTCTTTATTTCCATGATTATTCCCATTTTTCACATACGGACTGTAGCGAACAAAACCTAAACTCGAAATATCTCAAAACTTTTTAATAACCCCCCTTTGCTTTGATCACTGCTTTGCACTTTTCAGGAGTTTGCATCAAAAAGCTCACTGAGATACTGTAAGTTTGAGGGTTTAAAGCACGGTCAAGCAAAGCAGAGGGTGAATACTGTGAGAATTTGAATATAAAACATAAAAATATTTAGTTGAGCTATTTAACATTCTTACTTTGCTACATAATTTCATTCCGGTCTTCTGTTTGTTTCTAAAATGTAGAAAGAAAGTGACAAACCTAACGAAAAATACGCTTAAAAAGTGTTCAAAGGTGTGTCCAAACTTTCGACTGGTAGTGTACTTTCTTCTTTTTTTTTTTTTCTTTCTTTTCTTTGTTTATTGAACATTTATAACATTACCAGACAAACAGAGTGCATTGAATGTATTGTAGGTATGACAGTCGTACAAAAGGACACGTCTGAATGTCAAACACCCCAACCACTCCCATTGACAGAACATACCAAAATAAATAAAATAAAAATAAATAAATAAGTACATTAAAAAAGTAATAAAAATAAAAAAAAAATACATTAAAATAATAATAATAATGATTAATTAAGTAAAAATGCTAATATAAATAGTAGTAGTAAAAGTTAAATTAAATAAATATATAATATGAATTAATTAATTAATAAAAATGCAAAAGGAAGAAAAGAGATCACTCAAAAAAAAGAAAAATTACACAGACTAGTAGTGTAATTTCTAATTTTACCTGACTAATATCACTTCAAAATAACAATTTATTTATTTTTCTATTTTATTTTAACTTGTGCATATACATTTATATAATTATGCCATATTTGACACCAGTCTCTTGCTATTTTTGTTACTTATTTAGAATTTATTATTACCATTTATATCTTTTACTCTTTGTTATTATATTATATTGTGATTTTTGAGCTGCTGTGTCCAAAAATTTTCCTTGTGGATCAATAAAGTTTGTCCAAGTCTACAACTTAGCACAACTTTGACAACATTTAAGATATAAACACTTAAATCTATCAGAAAATGACTTAAAAGTAGTGAAATTATCTGTCCATGCAGCAAGATAATTTTACTTGACAAGTTATCGTACCTTTAGACAAGAATTAGTAAGCAGAGAGAACTAGTAAGTAGATAATAATTCTGAAAACAAGATGAATAACCTGATATAAGTTTTAAAAGAGAAATGTTCAGTACTGTAGCCACGTCTGCCTCCTTGTGCGTCTCCACCTTTCGTCTCGTGATACATTATGATGGATGAGCCGCTTTCTGCTGTATAAACAAGCAGAAGCCTATGCAAATAGAGGCCGGGCTGGACATTGTTCTGGCGTTTTGTGGGAGTTTTTTCCCTCAGTGCTGACGGAGCTAAAGGGCTGAGGGTGAGTGTGAGGGTGAGTGGGTTCACAGATCTGGAGCTGGTCTCACACTGGAGCTCCTGCGCCGGGACAAACGGGTGGGAGCGCAGAACAGGGCTGCATTGTAAACAGTTGGAAAGGCCGTAACAATTATCTGGGCTCTACTTTAAAGCCTTTGTGTACAGTTTGTGCTTGTGCAGTAGCTTCTTTAAATTCTCAGATAAATATAATTACTTGTGCGTCTTTAGAATAGATGAATTCTTAGACGCGGACAAATTTTATTTATCCACAATGGTGTTATCACTAAACAACAACAAGCTTTTTGCAGCCAACATTTTGCTTCTTCTGGAATAACTTGGTGATAATATCTTATTCCACAAGAGTAATTACTTAGACATAGTAGTTCACACTTTACAATATAATAACAAAGTGCAAAAACTAATAATAATAAAATATAATTGAATAAATAAAAGCAAGAGTCGTGTTGAATAATCAAGGTCAATATTTTTCAACTTCATTAAACTTCATTTGAACACTTTAACTGCGCAAAATGTGACTGTCGTATTTTTCCGGACTATAGGTCGCACTTTTTGGCGGAAATTTATTTTATAAATTCAGAGAACAGGAACCAACATTTCATCTTGAAAGGCAAGTTACAATAATAACAATAGAACAGAGAACAACAGACTGTTAACGTCACATATGAACAGTTCTTCAGATAAACTATAACATAAACAACAGAACAGAACAAGTTTACCAAACTCTCCATCTCACTCCAAATCACTAAATCCATTCAATTCTTCATCCTCGGTGTCACTTCTGAGCAACTCCATGACCTCTGGAGGTAAACTGAGCGCTGCTTCCTCTTCTGTGTCGCTGTCGTTAGACCAGCATCAGTTCCAGTTAGAATTATTCCGGCCTTTCTGAATCCCGACAGGATGGTTTCGGTGTCACTGAAGTCTAGGCTTTGTCCATCCATCCAGTGACTTCCAGGAAACCGTGAAGCTGTGTTCTCCATCCCCGCTTTCCGCCAGTCCCTCACAAGTTTCTCGCTCACTTCAAACTTTCTTTCTGCTGCTTGATTACTGTTTTCAGCTTCATATTTCGCTACTTACAGCAGAAGCCATGCGCAGTAGAGCGAAGTGACAGTGGTACAGGAGTAATAGGAGCAACAGATACTGACACGCAAGACTCGAGCTTCTTGTGACTGTCAGTGTGAAAATTGTAATATATAAGTCACACCAGAGTAAAGTGGGAGAACCACCCAAACTAGGGATGGGCATGATTAATCGATTAATCGATAATTGATCATTAATAATTTCATCGATTACGTTAATTTTAATCGACAAACCGAATGTAGGTTGCTGTGCGTAGTGTGACCAAACAGGTGTGTACATGTGTCTCTCTGCACTCAGAAGGAGCGAGACACAAACATTCGGTCAGTCTGCAACGTACCAAAGCACAAATGCGTATTAACGATGATTTGTACAAGAAATTCCACGCTTTCCGTTGCGTTCGGGACAAGTGTGAGTCCATGTGCACAGTGTAACAAAGCAGCACATATGTTTCAGGTGTCCAGTGGGAAAAAGTTTTACCAGGTGAGAGTCGCTCAATGTGGATGACGAGTCCCCACCTCCCTCCCCCTGTACGGTGTCCTGGTTTTGACAAACGCAAATATGGTCACACTAACCTGTATTCACCTGAGTCATGTCTTTTAATCCAACAGAAATTGACTGCATCAGCGACACAAGAGCTGTAGTTTTATCTTCGCTGAGTTTATGCAAATTAGCGATGCGGTTTTAAGTTTTGTTTCTGTGAGAGTTGCGCAAAACTGAATTAAACACATTATAATGTCAAACGGGCTGATGTGGCTCTAGAGTCGTTACGGTTTATATGTCGTAAAGTTGAATTTATTTATGCAGATTAGTAGTGCAGATAGTAATAATAATGATGATCATTTTAATATAAAAACGTTAATGATTAATCGATAATCGATCGTTAATTCTTCCGACGATCGATTAAGAAAATTTCATCGAATGCCCATCCCTAACCCAAACCATGAAAAAAAGTGCGGCTTGTAGTCCGAAAATACGGTATACACCACTCTCTGATGGGTTTACAGTGAAATCAGGTCTGTTCCCATTTTAAATTGTATAATTTGGGTAGAAATGATCAAAATTGGCCCAAAAACATCGTCAGAGCTTATTGACTATTGGTTGCTCTCCTCTCATGTAGTATCTCTATATTTCAAACTTTACTTTAGACATTTAGAACCTCTTCCTGCACCATATTCTGCTGCACATTCATCACTCTGTCATAATTCACTTCTTCTTCTGTCTCTGGGCCCATCTTCATTCTTCACTACCCACTGTGGACCACTTCACCATGTCTCGCTCGCTCCCTCTGTTCCTCAAAGGGGGACTCTCTTCCTAATTTGGATCGTCTCTTGGCCACTCCCCTGACCCAAATGTCCAAGAACGAGCCCATTTCAGTCAGAATGGCCCCTGTCCCGGCCTGGAGAAAGGTAAAGACGAGCCCAGCTCTGCCCCTGAGCCGACTAACACTAGAATGATTTAATCCTCCTGTGTCCTGTGTGTGGATTTCTAATACTGGGTGATGTTTGTCACAAAGATAGACGGAGAAAACAGAGATATAAACAGAGAGACATGTGGAATGAAAGACAGACTGAAAGATTGTTAGACAGGTAGAGAGATAGACCGAGGGAGACAGAAACAGGTTTAGTCCTGACTTTTTTACTTGCAAAGCAGGGATATTGTGCAGTTACAGTTAGACGTCTATACAAATGTAACTGAAGGCAATTAACAATGTTTTATATAATAGAATATGATAAGAATGAAAATGTAAAGATCTTCCTCCGTTTAAAAGTTGAGCAGTCCCTGTTTTGACCTTGATTTAAATTGTAATTGTCCAGGGAGTGCAAAAAAAATATAGATTTTATTTTTATTTGGCTCGTCCAAAATACTGGCCATAGATAGATAGATAGACAGACAGACAGATAGATAGATAGATAGATAGATAGATAGATAGATAGATAGATAGATAGACAGATAGATAGATAGATAGATAGATAGACAGATAGACAGACAGATAGATAGATAGATAGATAGATAGATAGATAGATAGACAGATAGACAGATAGACAGATAGATAGACAGATAGAGGAAGACATATAAAGAGATGGCTAGAGAACAGAGGTGGGGACTTGTAACGATGTGACTTGGACTCGAGTCAGACTGATGTCACTATTTTTAAGACTTGAAACTTGACTTGATAAAACAGACTTGGGACTCGACATGGACTTGAAGCTCGATGACTTGGGACTTGACTCGTGTGACTTGAGAAGACTTGATGCTTCTCCTAAAAATATATATATATGTTTTTAGAAAATACTTTTCTCTTTGCAGTTGATAAATGTGGTGATTAAATTTTCAGGGACGAACTGGAACATGTCCCTCGCACTTCTGTTTGGTACTTTTGATGTAACTGAAGTACTGTGATGTGGTATCCTCAAATTTACTACAGTAATATATAGTACAACACAGTACAATACAGTAAAACAGACGGAGCTACAAAGAACACGATCCTTCCATTTCAGTGCAGACTACACAACAAAATAACTGTTATTAAGCATTTTAAAATCTGAATTCTTTCTATTCTGACCGTAATGATTCACACTAAGATCTTGTCAAGACATTTAAAAAGGAAAAAAATCACATTTATTCAACTCTTATATAAATACACCCTGACTTTTTGAGTACTATTCATTTAAAAGTCATATAAACTGCAAAAATCTAAGCTATATTTCTTACTTTTTTGGTTTAAAGACTTGACATGAAGCTCAAAGCAGACGACTTGGACAGTGACTTGAGACTCGACTTGACTCGGACTTGAGATCAAAAACTCGAGACTTACCTGAGACTTGCAAAATAATAACTTGGTCAAACCTCTGCCAGAGAAGGAGAGATAGATGGATGGAAAGACAGACTGAGATTGTTGGATAGTTAAGAAGGTAGGTAGAGAAAGAGAAATAGAAAGAGAAAAATAGAGAGATGGCAAGAGAAAGAGAGACTGACAGGCAGATGGATGGACAGATAGATAGATTATATGTAGGTAGATAGATACTGTAGATAGATAGATGGATGTTGGTGTATTTGGCATGTTTGGTTTGGTGAGTCTAAGTCAGAAAGATCTAACCTTGTGTGATGGTTCAGAGGCGCACGCAGCAGCAGGAGCAGCTCAGCATTCGCTACAAACAAATGCTGAAGTGTCAGACTCTTCCGCCTCGAGGGGAGCAGGTACGACGAGCTGCGCTTTTCAGCCACTAGAGGGCCCCAGTCTCCCCCTTTACGCTCCATTAGGTCCAGACACGGAGCACCGTCTGCGCAGTCACCGATGTAGTTTTGAGAAGCACTGTTGATACTTTGCAGTGACGTCATACTGGGGGTGTTCTACATGCACGTATACGGGGTCATTCCACCTCAGTTCGCCAAATAAAATTGCAAATTGAACCCTCACCTTGTCCAGTTGCAAAGAAAACTGGTGTATGGGTAAGTCATAGCCAAGAAAGCCAAAATCGGAGTAACGGTTGCTGAGATATTTCATCTTTACACTTTTTTTTGTGTGGTCACCAAATTTCAAATTGCATTTATTCAGCAACTACTGGTCCAATATCAAAAACCAAGGTGTCTCTGGAAACGGGAAATCGTAGGGAATCCCAATCTGGCATTATTTTTGCATTTGAGTATTTTTTACCTATATTTTGACCTGGAAATTGACAATAAGGGACACACCCGACCTCAATGACAACAATAGAAAAAATTTAGCCCTATATGTCGACTACAACAGATAAAACATCTGGAGGGGTTTTCTTTTTTATTTTCGCGCAAATTTACCTTGGAGTTGACTTACCCCCCATATTAAGACATGACAAAAAGACAAAAAAGTGAAAAAATTAAATTGCGAAAGCTCGGAAACCGTTGGTCCGATCAAACTAAAATTTGACATACCAAATTTTCATCAAAATTTGACAAAGTAGGGTTAAATTCATTGGGTGAACTGAGGTGGACTGACCCTATGGTGGAACGTTTAAGAGTTTGCATGGAGACAACGCTCACAAAATGGATTTAAACAACACATTTCAGGAGCCTGTGACCAATACGAATGTTTCTGATCCTGTTTATGTGTTTGAAATAAAGCTCAGATTAAAGTCTAAAGCTTCAGACAGAGCAGTGCCTCCAGTTAGCATCACACCCCAGGGAATGTTGATGATGATGAGCTGCAAAGTATCAGTTGTATCTAAAATGTTCTTTCCCATTGAAGTAGCTTGAAGTATCCCCCTTGTAGTATGTAGTATTTGTTGCGGATGGGACAATTCACAAAATTAGAGTTTGAGTTTTTTGTTTGTTTTTTTTTTAGTTTATTTGACTTATTTAGTGTCATGCACCATTTAGTTGCTGCCCAGCCTGCATGGGTTTATAAGACACATACACAATAAGCAGACAGATCACACATCAAACATAAAGTGTCCTTTTACGGAGGTCCCAGACTTTTAACACAAACTGAGTCAACTTGAAAACATTAAATTGAAACAAATACTCCAGTCTCTCCTCATCAGACACGGCAAACCAACATTAAGATACATTAGACACAACTGACAGCGCAGGTCATGATTCATTCATTTTCATTCATTTATTTATTTGTTTGAGCCAGGTACAACAAAAATTCAAAAACAATAACAAAAACAGGGATATGTACATGAACATATTTGGGACCTGGTGCTCAAAAGGAGTAGGATGAAGTTTAAAAAACTTATAGAGTCCTACCCCAATTGTTTTACATAATCACATGGTTCACACTTTTTTTTTTTTTGGTAATGATACAAAGGACAGTAGGAGAGAAAATGCATTTCATTTTCAATGTCCTTTAAGTCGCACAGAGCACATGAGCCAGAGCCAGAGTCCCACACCTCAGCTGGGCACATACTGACCTTTAGTTTAATCATTTTTTTGTGTTCAGGTGAGCTTTTTACTCTGCTCCCTTTTCCCATTAGAAGAAGTTCAAGGAAATGTGGAGATAAACTGTTATTTTAATTGTTTTTGTTAGGTTTTTACTGACCAAGGGGCGTAACTTGTAAAGATGTCAAATTTAAACAAGTGAAAATTTTGAAGCAAGAACCAAACATTATATTTGCAGAAGGAATTGTCCTGTCCCTAATATTTATGTATGTGTGTGTATGTGTGATTTCTCTGTTATTTTCATTAGCTGATTTGTGAGTTGCTCGTTTGTCTTTTTACGTATTTTATATAATATTGAAAAACATTTATATTGAATTTCCCTGTTTGAATGTGAATCTGCAGCTACTTGTAGTGAATTTAACTTACTGCAACCATTTTTTCATGTATGATTTGGAGAATTTGCATGTTTCTTTTTCATTGCTCTGACTCATTTGGTTTTATTTGCTCACTATCAGATATGCAGTAACATTTCTTCTTCTACTCAAAGTTAAAAGGCTCATATTACGCTATTTTCTGATTTATGTTATAATGTTTCTCATCAAAAACAGACCTGGAGTTGTGTTTTGTTTCATGCAAACATTTTTAACACACAAACTCTGCATATTTAGTTCTTCTCTCAAACAGAAAACACTCCGCTGTGTCACTTAAACTAGAATCATTTGGAGAATTTCAGCTGTTGAATTTCCAATCTCAGCTGAACAAAAGGTAAAATCTAGCTGTAAAACTATCACTACATAACATCACAAGGTGGAATAGAGCATTTTGAGCTTTGGAGACAACAAAACACAACTCCAGGTCTGTTTTTTGACAAGAAAACAACATTATAACATGACTTAAAGCTCTGAAAAGTCAATTTTGCATAATATAGGACCTTTATTTTGCATTTTCTCTTCATTTTACCATCATCTTTTGCTTAATTTTATTTTGTTTTGACTTAATTTTAAAGGCCAGAGGTGGTGCAGACCAGGTGTCCGGCGCAGGCTCTCGCAGCTGCCCAAAGAAAACCATTCTGCTCCCCTCCTCCTCCTCCACCTCTTCGCTCTCTCTCCACTCAGAGGTGACACATCTGCTCTGTCTGTCTGCGTCTGTCACTTCCCCAATACAAAACTAATAATATCCCTCCCCCCTAAACCCTACATGTTTAGAAATGGAATTAGCTTTTGGAATTATAACCTTCGTAGTTTTTGTGAGTAGAGCTTAGTCTGTCTTTAATACAGAGAAGTGTTGTTGTGGTCTTTTGTGGTTTTACATGGTGTGTGTGTGCGTCTTATGACTGAAATGTGAGTCCCTGAGGTTGAATTTTAGGTTAAAGGGCTCATATTATACTGTTTCCTGATTTGTTATAATGTTGTTTACTCATCACGAACCTTCCCAGAGTTGTGTTTTGTTTCATTCACACATATTTAATGCACAAACTCTGCATATTTAGGCCGAATTCTTCTCTCAAACTGAAAACGCTCTGTTCCACCTTGTGATGGTAAAACCGGAAGTGCTCCACTGTGTTTTAAAACTTCATCCTTTAAACTGAGCTTCGTTCCAGCTGCTATCATACTTATGAATAAATTGTAATCTATTAATCTATCAATTTTAGTGCGTTTATCTTGGAAAAATCATGTTAGTGCTGTCATGCGATTAAAAAAATTGAGAGATTAATTAATTATGATCTGTAATTAATTAATCTAATTAATCTCATTTTAATCTCATCTAAAAATTGCTGAGAAAAGCTTCAATTTGAGGTATTTTCATTTAAATTCATTATTACATTATTGTGGCAGATCAAAAGACTCATATAGAACAAAAAAAGTGACTTTATAAAGTCATTTATTGTTTAACAAATCTCTCCAAATTGGCTGTTGAGCCCAAGTCTCATCGCGTTTTGTGTGGGTTTCTGGCAATGAGTGAAATTACCGAAATAAAAAAATGTATAAATGTGTTTTTTGTGTGTGTGTTTGTTGTCCCAGCAACACATAAAAACAGATTTTATAATAAAGCAACTCACATACAGAAACAGTAAAGTTAGAGATTAAAAATGAGATTAACGCGATTAAAAAACATAACGCGCTAAATATGACTGTAATTAATTAATCGCAATTAACGCGATAATTTGACACCCCTAGTTTTTATATATATTTAATATTTATTGTGTTTTTAGTCAAGCGTGATGGATGAATTTAACTAATTGTTTATGGGCCAAAGATGTTCATTTTGTTTTTTCATGTACTTTAACTTCTTAGGTTCTTTTGTAAAGACAATACAGTAAAGTGTATTTACTTTGTTGACATGTTTCGGCTGCTGCTGCTGCATCATCATATCTGTCACTTGATGTTGGTGGTGACGTGTCGTATATCAGCTGTTGTTACTTCCTGTAAGCGTCGGTGGCAGGTCGCTCAGACTGACCACACCTCCTGTCGCCCGGTGTTCTCTGGAGGAGGGTGGCCCAGATGCGTGAAAGGAGAAACGCTCCGTCGTCACTGTTGATGCTGTCCGTGCCTCCTTTCCTGATTTCAATGGCCTCCCTGATCCAGCTTTTGAACTTGTTGTTTTCTGATCCAATGACCAGTCTGAGCGACCTGCCAGGTCCATCAGGCTGACCAGGCCTACAGGAAGTAACAACAGCTGATATACGACACGTCACCACCAACACCGGGGACAGTTCTGAAGACACAGCAACAGCCTAAACATGTCAACAAAGTAAATACACTTTACTGTATTGTCTTTAAAAAGAACCTAAGAAGTTAATTGTTTATGGAACAAACCATTCTGCATTGGAGCTCTGTAACACTTTATTTTGTGATTGTGTTTTTGTACGTGTTTATTGCACATAATGTGGATGAATGAAATGTGAAATGTGGGACCTGCTTTTCAAATCTGCAAAACAAATTTACCTACAGGTACGAATAAAGTAACGTAACCTAACCTACACCCTGGGTCTCCACAATTTGAGATTTTCCAGTAAATAAAAATAAGTAGTAACTGAAAAAGAAACATTGTGTGCCTTTGATAAATTAAGTTTTTAGTTAGTTGTTGGGGGATTTATAATTGCTGATCAACTGTTGAGTCACTAGCAAGGACCACGCCACAACAATGGAATTCTAGAAGCTGTTTATTGATGGTGGATAGATGTGCTGCCGGGGGGAGATTCAGGGTGGGGGCTCCGTCTCCAATCCAAAATGGACACCCAGCTGTCTTCAGGCTGAAGGATGGACACAGGACGGGAGGGAGGGGGTCGAGAGAGCTGACGGTGTTGTTGGGATGACTGTGTAAATAGGGCTTCTGGGTAATTAAAGGTGTGGTGGAGATAAGCTGTGGTTGGCTGGAGAGAAGGTTGAGGTGTGGTCCAGCTCCTGAATCTCAGTTAATCACGTTAATTCCACTTTTTACCGTTGTATTTTGGCAAATAAAACCTTGTCTACTGGCAGATTTTTTTTGTGGATCTCGGTTTTGCAATGTGGAAGTATTTTGGCCCTTGGAGAAATTTAATTGGAGACCCCTGTCACACACCTTCACTAGAATCACTTGGATAATTTCAGCCCTGGAATTTCCAATCTCTGCTGAACGAAAGGTAAAAAGAGCTATTAACTTGTAAAAAATAACTACCTCTTCATGACATCACAAGGTGGAACAGAGCATTTTGAGCTTTGGAGATGTAGACAGACTAATAATACAGGGTTACTCAAATGTGTGAATGAAACAAAGCACAACTTTGGGTATGTTTTTGTTCATTGTAAAGCTATTTTTTAATAATACAGACCCTTTAAACTTCAGTTACATTTTCTTTTTGGAAACATTGATTAAAATAAACATTGTTGTACTATAGATTACATCACCGATTGCTGTTTTGGTGAAAAAAGTTAATATTTTGGTTCATTTCTGCCTTAAAGAATTTGACTAAAGAGGACGAAGATGAACTTGAGTACTACGAGAAGCCCAAAAAATACCTGGTACACGTGTGGTTGCATGGATTTGCTTTGCCCCTTTAACTATAACGGCAGAATTTAATGTGAATCTAATGTAAAACTACTTAGCAGGATTGGACGCCTTTGCATATTGTAGAACCAGAACCCGAACCAGAACCTATCCACATCCCGGGCATACAGGAGAGGGCCGATCGTCTCATCTCAAAGTTTAAGTCTAAACCAGCCAGACCCCCAAAGGTGAACTGCACGGACATGTTTTCCACTTCAAAACTCCATAACGCACGCAGCTTCCTGATGCAGTCAAAATTATGTTAAATATATTCTGTATTCTCCCTCAAAGCCGAAGAAAAAGCCGTCCCGGTTCTTTTTAGAGCAGTGGTACATGTCTAGAGGCGTGAGTCCAGGCTCACCACTGTCTGCAGAGTCTTCCAGAAAGGTCCAGGCATGCAGTGTGGCTTTATACTAACAAAAATACATGCTAATAGATTCTTTATAGGTGTCTCATAAAGCATTCATGTAGGCCTGTCACAATAACAAACTTTGAAGCGTGATATAGCTGAGGAAAACTGAATAATAATAATAACGCATTAGTCTTACATAGCGCTTTTTAAGACGCTTTAATGTATAAATTGATGTAAAAAGACTATTTACTGGTTGCAGTCGCCCAAAAAGTCTCATAAGCTACGTTCAGACTGCAGCCTGATGTGACCCAAATCAAATTTTTTCGCTTCTATGCTCCTGTATCTGATCTTTTAATGACACAGATCAGATTTTTTTCAAACGCGACCCAGGACTTAATGCTCAATTTGGGGTTTTTTTGCAAGGTCGTTCACATTTCCAATTAAATGTGACTTGTATGTGATCTCCAGTGTGAACTTTAAACGCCCCAAAAGTATCCCGCATGTGCATTGGAGGACATGACGATGTCACACACAGCGAGCGTGCTCAGTGTTTACGGAAGTCGCCTAAACGCTGGGCTTGTCTCCTAAAATACGGTCCAGTTCTTCGTAAAATGGACAGGTTACACGTCCACGGCCGCTTCGTTTGTTTGAGTCTTTAGTCTCCTTGTATTTGCTTCGCAGGCTCTTTATTTTTTGTTGACATTGGAGCCAGGACTGTCTGTAGCCACACTCGGACATTTCTTTGGCAATCATTTCAAAAATTGCCCAGTTCTGATGAGACCCCTCCAATTTGTCCTGAACACAGCGATCCCCCCAAATATTAATAAACTCACTAACCTCGCTTTCCCTCCATTGACTAGACTCTGAGCCTGACGAGTAGGTGGGATGAATGTGACCTGACCGTTCAGACTGAAGTCGCATGTCAAAAGATCGGATATGTATCGGTTTTAGAAGCACATGTCCAAGTGTCCTGGGTCGCATTTGAAAAAATCAGATCTGGCTGTCATTTAAAAAAATCAGATACAGGTCACATAGGGGCGAAAAAACTGGATTAGGGTCACTTCAGGCTGCAGTCTGAACATAGCTTTGGGTATGTGGTCCTAAAACTGATACATATCTGATCTTTTGACAGTCACATTCATCCCACCTTCACGTCACAAATGTACACAAACGTTCTTCTCGTCAGACGAAAATTGTGTATGAACTCCGTGTCAGTGAAGCAGCGAAGCACATCGCAATCCCACCACTCTTGGCTGCGACTCTGAACCCACACATTTCTTTCTATGGACGTTGCTGCCACTGCTCCACAAAACGCCACGGCCAAAAACCTCATCCTTCTCCTTCTCAGTCTCCTCCTTAAAACAAATAAACTGTACATCTGGAGTCTCCAACCTGTAGCTTGGGAGCCACCAGTAGCTCTCCACCTCATTCCAAGTAGCTCGCCAAAGAATTATACGTATTGTGCTGAATAAGTAAAATTTAATTAATTACCATTGTAAATGTATCAATTTAATGCCCAGTTTTGTGCACTAACTGTGACAACAACAACAATCTAAGGCTGTGACTCTTATATTTACTCAATTTCTTGCAACAACTGTTAAAATAATTAGCTCTTTGGCATTTTTGTTTAGTAAAGGTAGCTCACCAGAGGAAAAAGGTTGGAGACCCTTGCTGTTCATTTTCTGGCTCCGGTACGACAGCAACTTTAAAATCTCCAGGTGCTCAACGTTGCGTTCATG